AGCGCAGCAAACATGGCTGGCGAGTGAGAGGGGAGTAAGGCCGCAGCTGAAAAAGCAACAGCGCGAGTGAGGCGGCGACAGAGCCGTGTGGTCTCTCGTGCTAAGGATAATAGCATGCGCGCTGGCTCAGGCAAATGGGAGAGAGCGAGGCAAGCGAGTGCAGAGCCGCAGTGACGCCATTGTGGTTCCACAGTACTTCCTGTCTACCGCCGCAGTGTTTGTGTGTCTTGTCTCCACGGTAACTGCCAGCACATAAATACCAGACAGAGAGATATATATATATATATATACACACACACACACACAGAGAGAGAGAGAGAGAGAGAGAGAGAGAGAGAGAGAGAATAGGGACAGAGCAATCAAAGTAAAATGAATCCAGTCGGAGCCTTGGAGACGGCTGGCGCGGGCTCAGTCCAATGCGTGCAAGATCTTTTTCATGCACTTTATGACCCGCCGCTCGCTCTGTGGTCAAGAGTGAGCGAGCCGTATAAAAAGCAGTGAGCTCAAGTGTCCCGGGAGTGAATGGGGATGTTCAGGGTGGAGTGGCTGAGGATAAGGAGGGAAACGAAGGGCTGACGGTTGGAGAAGGGAAGGCCACCTACTAGCTGACAGGTTATTGGCGAGGGGAGAAATAAGAGACTCGGGAGATGCTAACGAGGCCTTGTGATGCTCACGCGCCCGACACCCTTTGAGCGAAGCGAAAGAGTAACTTAACTACAGTGGCAGCAACTAGGAGTTCGAATTTGACTAGTTACTGTAATTCTAAACACATCCCTAATTTTAAAACGGTGCATTCACATTATATCAGTTGTTTTGGTCAGATGGACAGGTTAATGGTAGATTTTTTTTTTGGGGGGGTGGGGGGTTTATATTAAAAAAACAACATGAAAAATATTGTTTGGCCAGTGGTATGCAGACTTTTTATACCCACGAAGAAATTTTGCCAAGTGAAATTTTTGTCTTCTCTTTGTATAGAATTCTGCTTCAATTAAGTCACGCATTCCTTTTCATTATTTTTTTTCCAGGCCAGGCTTTGTAGTGAAATAGTTTGGCTGCACAATATTTCAAAGCGTTTCATCAGCCTGAAAGAAGTGCCAAGATGGCTGCCGTACCGATGGCTGGGAGTGGCGCGCACCTCATCGGTTCCCGCCGTCGGCCTTACTTCGGCATCTGCTAAATGACATAGCGCTGGATTTACACTGCGTGATTCAAGTGACAGAAGTCCATTTTTTTTTCCTCTCAAGTGGCTCAATTGGGATGTGAGTCATGGCAAGGTAGAGAGGAAAAAACACATGGAAATGGATATCATCAGATCGGAATAAGGCCTCTCCCAAACGAGGATGAAAATCGGATACGTATCGGACATCTGCCAATGTAATTGCAGCGCAAATGCACAGATTGGATCTCGCCTGGAAAAATGAGCATGACGTCATGGTGATACGCCGATCGGTGACGTACATACCAGAGTCACACCTGTGCGAGTCAAGTCAGTCTCCGGTTTTCAACTTCAAGCGAGTTATTCTGGCAAAAATCAAGCAAGGCAAGTTCCCACAACATTTCGAGCAAATACTCAAAACGTCAAACCGTACACAGTAAGGTGGCTTTCCTGGTTTAACAAGGTTAGAGGTTGAGCTGTTTTTTTCTCAGATCATATTTACCATGTGCTAATTTCAGGTCATAATGACAGTTTTAACAAATACGGATTTTTCTTTTTTTTCTCCCAACCGCACTCCCCCTTTCAAATCTGATTCTAATCAAGCAATGTGAAACGAGAGCCCCATAAAAACACAGGCATCTGCTCAAACAACATAAAATAAAGCAAAAGCATAGACAATTAAATATCGCTTAAATATGTTATATGGTGTCTTTGCAACTAGACAAAGTAATACTGGAGTCGTGTAGAAGCTGCCCTCATGAAAAAAAAAAAAAAAATGGCGGCCGGGGGAGAGTCAGTGCAGTAACTAAACCGCGAAACAAGATTTAACGTTCAAACTTCATAAGATTCATTTCTCATTGATTATTCCTGTGGCGTCACTGCTTGCGCATGCGGTTTCTTCCATGTGTTCTGTGAACGTACACAGAGCCGTATCGGATATGTGTGTCACTTGAAATGTAAATAGAAATAGACAGTCAAGGCCGCACGAGCACGAGTCCGGCAGCAAAAGGTCCAGAAATAGCTTACATAGGAACAAACAGTGATCCAAAAAAAAAAAAAAAAAAAAGACGACACCACCTCCTCTGGATGGTTCGCACTAGCCAGTCACACGCGCTAATGGTATTTATTCTTTCCTTTTAGCAAGGACACTCAAGTCTTTCTTTCCAATGTATTTTTTTTTTTGGTTTTATACAACAGAGTTACATTTGAATGAAAGACTAAAAGTCTTCTCATTGCTCATTTTCTTTCGGCATCTTCGTTACACCGCCAGCCACTTGATATTTTTAATTGGCCCGCGGGGCCCTACGAACTCTGCCAGGCAAAAAGCGGCCACGCAAACAAGTGACATGTCCAAGCAAAACAACCGGAGCGACACTGCTGATTGACACTGCTGCACCCGGAAACAAGCGCAGATATTTTATCATGACTAAAGGGCCGTTACATTAGGGAGAGTCAGATACCTTGGATCTGATGCTTATTTCCCCACATTTGTTATTTTACCCCTTACAATAAAAACATTCTGGACTCTTTGATGCATCATTTGATCTGACAGCACAAAACAATTGAGAGGAAATGTCATTAACATTTTTTTTTTGTCTCCCAGACATTGTGGCCAATAATAGAGTTGCACAATGACTCACTCAACACACCAAGATGGTGAGTCGGCTTAATATCTCGTGTGCTGACACACGTGTATCCAAACATACAGTGCTGTGAAAAAGTATTTGCCCCCCTCCTTGATTTTTGTGTTCTTTGCATATTTATCACACACAAAGATTGGTAGATTTTTTTTTTGTGCCTTAATAAATCATATTGGCATGTAGAGACTGCATTTTGTATTTGCTTGGGTCATCTCTGTGAGATATCAAAATTGGTTTGATAAACTGAAACCTTTGATGTGATAAATCTGCAAAAAAACACAGAAATCAGGAAAAGGAGCAAATACTATTTCACAGCACTGTATATACAAAAAAAGAACAATGAAGGCACTTAAATACAAATGTAAATTGACCACCTCTCATAAAATGCAGACTGGTTCAATTTATGTGAGCCTTTTAACGTTTTACCCTTTTGAACAAGAGAGAGGACTTTAAAACTCAATTCACCTTTGAGTACCAAAATTTGAGCTGGCTCAATCGGCCTCTTGAAAATCAGTCACTGAAAAAAAATTTCAACAACTAAAACTATCGTGTGCTGCTCCAAAATGCAAGTGAATAACTAGTTATTTTTATATATTCTTACTTAATCAAGCAATAATCTTTATTTCGCACAATCCATTTTTTTTTTTTTTTGTTTTGGAGGTGGGGTAGTAAATTTTAAAATACCGTTAAAACTGTAATTTAGGTAAAAGAGCTTCCAATCTCGTGGACACACACACACACACACACACACACACACACACACGCACACACACACACACACACACACACACACACACACACACACTACACACTACACAATTATATGTCCAAATATATAACTGCATCTTCTTGCACGTTTACAAAATCGTTTGAGATCATGACACTCAAATGGGAGTGGCCTCACATGTTTCTGTAAAGTCTATGTTTGGAGGGCATTGTTCAGACTAATCTGTCACCTGGCTAATTACAGTGCCGACTGCTACGTGTCACGTCTGTCGGGCCAAATTAGAAGGGAGTGTGCACAGGATGCACCCGACTTTTGACCCCCGAAAACCGGACAGACACTTTTCTTCGGTTCAGTTATGCTCACTGTACACGTATTTCAACTGATGAGAATGGTTCTGTCCTTGTAGTGATCATTAGCATCAATACAAATACAGCAAAATAAAGTTTCGCGATATAAAGTACCCGCGAGGGCATCATCCCGCGTAAAAAAAAACTAAATAAATAAATAAAATGAAATAAAAGGTGCTTGCGGTCATGTGTTACCGGCAAAGTCATTTCACTTGGCCTCAATGCATGTGTTGCTAAGAGACGAGCTTGTGTGTATGCATGTGTGTGTCAGTGGAATGCGTGACGTCTACAGGGGCGTAGTTGTCTGTGTAGGACGTTGTTGTTCTCACACGCACGTATGCACACAAAGGCTTGAGGGGAAGTTGTAAAGCCTCTAATAGTGCCCCTCAGAAGATTGTGATGCTGGCACTAAGTGTGTGTGTGTGTGTGTGTGTTGTGAGGGGGTGGTCACAATCATAACAGGTGTAGATCAACCGATAAGTCACAAAACTGCTTTTGGAAAAAGACTTTCAATAAGTTTTCTAAGGAGGTAAACCCAAAATGAAGCATACCTGAAATTACACACAATACCCTGTTTGTTTGTTAACTGTACAAAATTTAATTTGTATTCTATAAATGCGGGTGTTGGGGTTTTTTTGTTGTTGTTGTTGTTGTTTTTTTGCTAGAAATGGCACATGAAAGACGAAATACAATGAAAAATAACCTTAGGTAAAAACTCTTTTGGACTACAGTATTCTAAAGGATTCTGGTAACTATACTGTCGGCATAATTATTATTTCGGGGCTTGGATAAGTTTATTTAATGTTTTTTTATTGTATTGGAAACAGGGTAAATGATGACCAAATTACTTTAGGTTTCATTTCCTGCTCAAAGACATCAATTCATCCATCCATGTTGCGAGGCGTTGCCCTCATTTGGCTAGCAGGTAAACTGGAGCCTATTCTTGGATGAATTTGGGTGTGAGACCAGGTACACCCAGGAAAAAAAAAAAACATTCTCATTTGGAGACAATTTAACCTTTCCGGTGAGCCTGACGTGCCTTTGGAACATGGAATGAAGCAGGAGTACACAGAGAACAGCCACGCAAGCACGGGGAGAACTTACAAAGTCCACACAGATTCGAACCCTGAACCTTAGAACCGTGGGGCAGATGTTGCGAACCACAAAGTCCCGCGGGCCTGGTCTAAAAATACCTCACCAGTGATTTGTTAGGATTGTTTTAGAAACGATCATTTGAAAACACTGGTAGAGACTTACGGAAATAAAGTGGTGCATATCGTCGCTGTCTGGCGGAAACGAGGTTCAAATATGGTCAAATTTACGTTTGATCCAATCAATACGAATGGTCCGTCCCCATTTCGTCGGTTACTTTTACCAATTCAAAGCAGTGAAAATAGCTTGAAAACAAAATACGTTGCTGCTCTTGAACGCAACTTATGTCTTGAGTGTTGCACAACTACTTGGTTCCTTCGTTCTGTGGAAGCTGTGTGGCGAAGTTGTATTTAACGTATGGATTTTTTCTTTTCGAGAATGAGCGAAAATAGTATCAGGTTAGAAGATACATATGATATTAACCCGTTTGCTAATTATTGCGGGAAATCATTAACATGATCAGTGCGTTCACATAAATTAACACCATTGAATGCTTTGTAATCATAACTAAGGTAATTTGAGCAATTTTTTTTTTTTTACGTTTCAGAATACTGCATCAAACCCAAGAAGTAGCCTTCCGTTTCAAAAAGGTTGGTGACCCCTGGTCTAGGGTATGCATCATTTTGGCCTTAACACCAAAAATCCGCGGTCTCCCAAATTCAATTGGTGTTAATTGGTAAAGCTCCCAAAAAAATGATTCCATTTCGGGTGTACCGAAAATTCGCCATTGATACTGAAAGAGATGTTTTGCCAACTGATGTATACGGCACAGCACATAAAGGACTCCAACAGAAAGTGTCTCATCATGTTGGTCTGTTGAACTTCTGCACATTTCCTGCTCTTGACTTGGACTGCCGTTGCTCATTTATTAGCGGCTGTGTGGCCAATTAGCTCCCTGCCCCCTTTCCTGTGGGGGAGGAAAGCGGGCGAGATGGAGGTGGGGTCTACTTTTTTTTTTTTTTGTGGGAGTGAAATGGAGGAGACACACGGAAGGGGAGGTCTCTTCTCATCTGACATCGTCATAAAGGAATCCCCTGAAATGGGTTCAGCCCCGCCCACTTGCTTATTCTCACCCCGTCCGGCTCCCAGACACACTCGCCTTCTCACATGCTCGTGTCTGCACTGCTCACAGAGGAAGAGAGAGAGAGAGAGAGAAAGAGACGACAAGGGAAGGAGAGGGGAAGAGCGAGAGAGAGAGGGAGAGCGAGAGGCCGACATCTGTGTAGTTGAGCCACATCACTGGAGAGCATGGTGAGAGTCAACGGGAGACCAAAGACAGGAGTAACAAAAGTTCTCTCAGGTAGGAGCACCATTCCCCCACCCTCCCGAGAAAACCACCGTTGGTGTTTTACTGTTTTACGACCCCGCGAGTCTGTACAGTTTACTTCCTGTTGTGTGTCGAACTGTGCGTCCTCCTCGGTGAGGCTCACGTCATTCCGCAAAAGGCTGCAACCTGTTGATAGGGGACTTGAATGCTCATTCGACTGCGCCGCTCTGGTATTGTCTGAGTGGAAGCGTCTCCTTTACAAAGGTCAGACATAAATAGTTGCTTTGAATGGGATGGTTCGACGTCTGTCTGCCAGTTTGAACTCCACCCTTAGCGCATGACATAATTGGCTCTCCTCAACCTGTTTGTCCGCTTTCCTGCGCAACTGTCGGCGAGTTCCCTTGTGGATACGTGTCATCGTTCCGGCCACGCGTCTGTCATAACGCGCCCCGGACTGAGATTGGGGTCATTAAACGTTACCGAGAAGCAGAGACGGGGATGCTACAGCGGTGGTGAAACAAGGCTGGAGTTGCTCAAACATTCCTCTCTCAATGTTCCAAGGCCCTGTAAGTCCGTAGGATCCCAAAAGTCCTTGAAAGGAAGGGATTTTTTTTTTTAACGCACTGGTCAACACCAAATTGGAGCCTAGGAGAGCAACAATGGGGAACGTATCCCATTAGGGAAACATTCAGATGAATGCTGGGAAGGTACAGTTGGAGGAGGGAGTGCAGAATTGGGAGCAGGCTCAGGAAAAGGATGGCGTAGTGGAATAAAAGCGTGTTCCTGCCTCCATTTGTGCATGTGTGGTTCGTGGCAGCAAGGGCGGCTGTGGACTAAGTAGAGGCCTGGTGGCGGTAAGGGTGTACTGGCAGAAGACCAGGCCGAGGATAAAGTTACACACAGAGCAGAACCACGAGCCCAGCCCTGAGCTCTTTGGTCCCAGGAGACTCTCTCTTCTTTACAAAGTCTTCATCTGGAATTCCCACAGACGAATGTCACCCAAGCGGCCCATCCCACTGATACCCGGCCAAGTGCAGCGTGGAACGGAGAGAAAGGCGCCCGGCACGTAGCGCCAGAGCGTCAGTGTTTGAATGTCGTTGAATGTCACGGTCTCAGTAATAATTACGCCCTCGCACGCAACATGAAATGAATACGCGGCGGCCATGCACGCACATACCCAGACAGACAGTGTAAGCGAGCTACAGGGTGTGGTACGGCACCAAGGTGTGTGTGTGTGCGTGGCCTCAAAGATCCAGCAGTGGTGCGCCGCATTTTCACCTGATTGAAGTGCATATCCAGTAAGCCTTCAAGTTGCTCACTTCGAGGTGACAAAGCGTTGTTGTTGAGATACCCCGCAAGTCCATCCTAATCGGCAAAAGCGGTTTTAAGGGCTGCAAGGGACAGATCGGCAAGTATGAAAGGCAAACACGGCGTACTTATGCTCAAAGAGGACGAATTTTGGTGATATTTTCACCACTGTACACTGGTGACATTATCTTTGAAGCTTAGATTTATCAGGTTGAGTCTGATCATCATCTCCTGGGATGCATAGGAAAGCCCTACCATGGCGTGGGGTCCTTACTCCTTGACTATCCATGATTCATACCTGTCTCCCAAAGTTCTCTTGGATTGGCAAAAAAACTACAAATACATGAGTAATGGGCAATATGAGAGTTTTTGGGGGCACCCCTTACCGCACTTTGTTCAATCGCATTATCAATATTAGCATATCAACGTGAAAGTGCACCACCGCACTGTTTGCTCTGGGAAGCTTTCGCCAGCCCGGAGGTGCGAATGATGTCACATCAGCGCGTATTGGTGCTATTCTGGGCTTTATGAGGCCGAGTGAGGAGCCAGCTAATGCAACATGCCATGTTTGCCCGGGAGCGGGGCTGACATAACTGTGTTTGTTTATCAATAGTATTATGGGCCGGCACACCGCCTGTGTGCATCTCTTCGATGCACATGCAGGTATGCGTGCACATGCAAGGGCACCGGGAGAAGATATGTGTTGAAACAACAAGGACTGGAGACCCAGCTGTCTCAACAGAGGCTTTTCCACTTAACCGTGCGCCCTTGTGTAAATGGCAAAGTCGACCCCGAAGTGGAGAGCGAGTGAGCGAAAACAGCCAGCGGCCACGTCTGCACTCGCCTGCGCGTCGCGTGCACCAATATCAACGTCGAACACGCAGAGTGTCAACTGTCAAACGGTGGTAATTGTATCTCAAGGTCTTTTTAGGATTTTTTTTTTTTTTTTTTCCCCTGCCGGTGCAGTGACACCCAACGGTTGGGAATAAGGCGCTTTGCCAATATTCCACCTCAGAGGTGGCCTGCGTGACTCATTTGTAAATGAAAAGTGAGTGGCAGGACAGGAGTGTGAAGTTTCAGATTGCACACTCACTTCTGCAGCCCGGTCGTGTCGCGGTCCGACAGACGTCACACGGGCGTTGGCGCCACGCGCGCAGGCAGGGGCGGCAAGATTGGCTGCGTTCAAGACAAAGGTGGCCTCGCGGGGAGATCTTCCAGCTCTGCGGCTATTTTACAAGATATCGGTGAACAAGAGACTTAAAGCTCCAGTGCGCCACGAAGCAGAGCGAGGGCAGCGGTAGTTGACAGACAAGGCCAACAAACGGTCGAAAAAGTTATTTTTCAATTGAATCTTCTATATTGTAAAAATAAAAAAAAAAAGATATACACATTGGAATTTTAAAAATAAGTTTTTGCAGGGTTTCCCCACCCCCCCACTGCCCGAGTTGCCCTTAATGCAAATTCTCCACTCAGGTACATTTCCTGGCCATCATCCCTCTCCGAGACTCATTTTTCCTCTTCTATGCCTCAGGATGTACAACGTTGGCACGACGACGAGCCGCAGCCGGCTCCGCAGAAGCTTATGATTACATCTAACCATAATAAACGTCCCGGTAGAGAGGAGCGTTGAACTGGCTCCACACACAAAATAAACAAGACGCTAAAGTGAGACATCACACAGCGAGCGTTTGAGGTGAGGTGTTGGACAGTGTGCGTCATCGCATGGGAAAGGAAGGGAAGGGAAGGGAAAGGGGAAAAGGAAGGAATGAGCCCATAGGCAGGAACAGCTGCGGGTTCGAAGCTTGGAAAAGCCATGGAAAAGATGAAAAGGCAAAGAAAATTGCACAAGATGAGAGGACGACGGGATGGAGCGTTTGGGAGGAGTCGGCAGGATGATGGCTTTGATGGGTGTTGGGACCCTTTTTTTTCTTTTTTTAGGTGCTGATTGGGACCTTGAGCAGAGAGACCGTTTACGTAATAAGATACAAATAAAGATTCCACTGCAAATGATTTCCATGAAGTGGAGGATCCTAAAATCGGAGTTACCGCAACTAACTGGAGAGAGCAACTTTTTTTTTTTTTTTTTTTTTTTTGCCATGATAATGCATCATCATTGGCGGGTGTTAGGGATTACGTAACTTCGGATTTCTCTCAATTGGCACTAACGTGAAAGTCCGGTCACTGATGATGTGCACCTATTTTCAGGACATAAAATTTTTGTATCGGGATTACAGTATACTGTAAATCGGGAATACATTGCAATATTTAAACCAGGAAATGTGTCTCTGTTCTTGACCGACCACACGAGTCAGTTGTCAGTTCTGCATGAGGGGGAATCTGTTGTTTAATAATTACAAACCCATTTGTGGGTGGTGGAATAATGGCCGTGCTCTCATTCCACCTTGACAGTGCATTTCTGGTTCTCCCTGATTTACCAAAGCTGCACATTCAGAAACGGAAGACAAATTGAAATCAATTAAAAGGGACGGACTGATTACAGTCCGCTAATTTGTTGCTGCAAGCGGCTTTGCCTTTTCCTCAAGTCAAAAACACGTCCACATCACACTCTAAACATCACTGCGGTGTAGTAGTCGACAAGTTGACTCGTCCGTGCGATCCCTAATTACTACCACGACAGCTTTTTGTAGCTTCCTGATCACAATTGTTTTAAGAGGAAAAAAAAAATATCAAGAACGTTAATTTTGGGTTGCTTTTGAAAGTTGAAACCTTTAAATGCAATTTGACAGCAGCTATTAGTGATCCCATCTTGTACCGTACTCATTTTTCGGGACATTTATTTGCAGCAACAACTAAGAAGGAACATTCAGAAAGCAAAACGGACTTTGGCTTTGCATCAAACAAAACAGTAGGTAGCTATTATACTATTTTGGGACCATGATTCCAGACTGTTACGCTTTTTGAAGTAGATTGGTGATAAGAGTGTCCACTGTGTCCTGAGTGCTGCGCTCCACGTCCCCACAGACGGGCTTTAACGTATTTAGAGTCTGGAGTTTCCCCAAAAGTGTCCCGCTGACTCATACGTTGCAGACGCCGCTTCCAAACAAAAAAAAGCACCTCTTTTTCAACGCAGCGGCGGAGTTTGGCTTTTTTGGAATGACCTTGTTTGTTATTTTGCTTACAGTAAGAGAAGATAGATAGCACCAAAATGAGCGCATTGTAAATTATTTATTAATGAGCAGGCGCAGAGCCGTTTCCCCCGTACGTACGTGAGGCGAAGATGAAGGAACGGAGCCGACTGGTGCGCACATCTATTAGAGGGAGTGCCACTTGACTGGCCACTTCCTTCTAACCAAATTCTCCATTCTGTCATTGAAAAGCTATTTTTATAAGAGGCCACGGGAAGTCTGGGAGTTGACGAGAAACACACACACACACACACACACACGCACACACACACACACACACACACACACACACACCCACACACACACACAAGGACGCAGCGCCGAGGCGAGGGCAGTGGCCAATGCAAGGTAACGGTGACAGTTATGTTGTCTTGTAGATGTGGCGTCGACGACGGCGACGACGCTTCCCGTCGCAAGCCGTCTCTGTTGACCAGGGGAATTCCTGGCAGAGTGATTTTGGAGACTAAATACTGAATCACATTGCCAGGGATTTCCAATGGCTGGCATGAGGAATGCAACGCGCTCGCTCACCTTTCTGATTTGCTCACTCACACAAAAACACACCCTCCTCTTCTGTTCCCGGCACCCGGCCGCGCGGCGGCAGGACTTAGCACACATGTGAACAGAGTCTGCCATGTTCACAGTGGTTAAGTTCTGTCGCCACAGGGCTGCAAACTGCTAGGGGTTGGAGTAAAGGTCAAGGTCGCGGGTTTACATCAGCAGAGGTCCACTGAAATTTTGGATTTTAGATTTAAAGAACACATTGGTTTTTTTGTTTGTTTTTTTTTTAATAATGTGCATTATTTTGGTTCTTGAAAAATATTGCGCTTGTGTGCAGAAACCGTGATTCCGGGAGATGTTATGCATGTGCATGTAAGTCATGCTGATGGATTAGAAAAGGGGCATGAAAATGACACAAATCAATCTGTTCAAATGGAAATTTCGTTTTAAGTTTGACATTTTAGATTTTATTCCAAAGGCGATGTATAGTATTTACTGACAAAAATGACTAGCAATAAAGGCCTCCCTTATTACACCCCTGCTCTCTGATATGTTCACATGATAATATTTCTTAACTTCTAAACCATTTTCCACTATAGCAAAATACAACATTGGTGTTGAAAAATGTGCCCCATAGATTTATGAAGTGTTTACTTATAGATATATATATTTCTTGTGTATGTCCCTACTCGGTTGCGCGTTGCTGTAAAATGCCAACAGAGCTTGTGAAACAATTCATATATTGAAGGGTCAAAAAAAAAAAAAACTCTTGCGCCTATTCATCGTACTAGATGGAGTGTTGCGTGTGTATGACGGATGACTCACCATTGTGTTATGACAATGTCAGCGTGCTGCACCCAGCTCATGGGAGATGGTATAATGCCGTCTGCTAATAACTGCTAATCTGTTGAAAAAGCAAAATGTCATCAGCTCCCTCATCACTCTCTAAAGGACACGTGTGAAACTTCGGAATTGCTTTTTTTTTTTTTTTTTTGCTTTGATGATGCTTTGCCCATGAATTTCTGTATCAATAGAAAGGGCCAATTAGTTTTACCTGAATAATATATGCATATATATCTTTGTTTATATTAGTATAAACACCATACTGGACCGGTCTCCCGTGCCTGCTGTGCTGATAATCAGTGTGTGACGTCGGCTGGCTCAGTTCAGCAGGAACAGGGGCCTGTAGTCTCATTTACGCTCACTTCCTTATGCCTGTACACCGCAGGTGCACTCTATGCACATGTCCGATTGAAGTGACTTGTTTGTTCATTGATGTCTGCTTGATTAAATGGATGTGATTTGCACATTGAAAATTAAAATCTTTTTGGTGAAGTTTGTGTGTCTTTTTGTGGTTTGTAATTACTTCAAATGCGCAAACATGATTGACAGGAACGAGACATCAACCGCGAAGAAGATTTCTGTGTATTTAGCTTGAACACACACCGTCAGGGCATTATTGTGCATATTCCTGCCTTAATGTTAAAAATTATTTAAAACTGGTTCAATTCGTTGGCTCACTCCAAATAAATCACATTTTAAAACAAGTCTTGTCTTTCTCTAAAGTATGAACTTTTTGCTACACACGATTGGCATTGCAAGTGAGTTAGTTTTCTTTATATTTATTTATATATATAAAAGTTCACATTTAAGGGCATGGTTAAAGGATTGTTAATACCATGTAAAATGCCAATGCATGTGTAAAACTGCAGTACGGCTTTTTATTTCTTTTTTCTCCTGGATTCCCTCTACAGGTGTGAAGTGTAACATACTTCCACAAATTTAATGAGCAGCTGTCATATGAAAAAGGATCACCAAAGTTAGCCATGGGTTGCCATGACGATGAGTGAGACAGCTATGTTTTTACTGGAAAATAAAATGACCATCGAGCATCATCATGGAATAAATTATGAGATGACAGCACGGCACTTTGAAACAATGTCACACACAATTAAGGTCAGGTATAGCACCACCATATTCCACAGTGAAAGGCTTCTATTTATTGCTAATATTGCATTGTCATCATTTAAAACATTTTATGACTAGTGGAATATTTCGTTATATTTATTTCCTGTCAAACTTTTTCCTTTTTCTTTTACACCCATTCATTCACTTATATCTAATTTTTATATATTTTTAAATATTGGTTGACTGGTTTACAGTCAACAAAAATATTACTCAATTTTAGATACACATTTAAGATTTTGATCTATTTTATGAATGAAATTATAAAGAATTTAAAATGAGAATTTTTAAATTCATACACATTTCCACTATTTTCTTCAACCTTATTCAGGAATGACATGACCGGTCACTCGATTTCCCAAAATCCGATGTGGCCTCTTTTGGAGTTAAAATATGCAGACGGGACCCTAAAAGTGGCAGAAATTGAATTTGTGTGCTGCTGAAAAGGTGTCGTCGTTCAACAACCTATCTGATTTATAACACCGGTGTCAAAACAATCAGTCAATCAGTTGGGTGTTTGTCCTTGCTGCTTTGTGTTGCTATGGCAACAATGTCACATGGGCCATTATTAGAGTAAAAAATAAACCCAGCTGTGGCAAAGGACTTCCTGTTTCTCAGCATGGGGTAGACATGCTTTTTTTCCCTCCCCTCTTCGCGTTTGAAAGTTTACCTTTGCGTCAGCCCCTCCCTTGATACACTCACACGCCCATGCCCTCACTCACCTGGCTGTTCAGTTTCGCAAAGGACTCGTTACCACGGTGATAACCGATAAACACAGCGGAGATAAGAAGTCGGCATACATTGGGCTCGGCTCCCAGACAGACACAATCAATCCTAATCTGCAAATGACAGAAATGCCCACACTTCATCATTGCCTTCCTACTCCTTCACCGGCACTTTGTTGCAAGCCGCCATTTTGTCCGGGAACAGACATAATTGCCATTATGACTGCATCACACACACAGCGCGGATTGTTCCACCGCGGGGGGAGGAAGTAGGAGCAAACAGTGTCTGCTCTGTGCAGACGCCACACAACATTATCTTAGCGTGACTACAGCTCAGCGCTCGCACTGAAATCAAGTCTTTGCGTTGCTGTGAGGCCTTCAAGGTCAATGAGAGCCCCCTTGACCTCAATCAAATCCAGTCCCAACTTCAACTTTCAAACCACTAAATACCATTGAAGGGGGAAAAAAAGTCCTCAAGTCTGACAACAATCTAACATTCCACACGAGGTCTCCTGTAGCTGAATTCTCAGCCTTCTTTGGAGTCCTTTCATGACACATTAGAGTGGAACCAAAGTCAAGTCAAAACAATCTGCTCTGTCACGCTGCTTGACTTCCAATTTCAAAGCCCATTCCCTCATAGGAAATCATGTAAAATGAATCAATTTGTTCCAGGCTCATCAAGCTTTTATTCATGACACACACAACTTTTTACATAATATTTTACCATTGTAAATTGCCATGCAAGTGTTTTAAGTTAACCACTGCACAAGAAAATAAAAAAACTAAAGTTAGCCCTTTTAAAGACGCTTAACAGACAGATGTACAGTCATCCCTCGCCATAGTGTGTTTCACTTTTTGAGGTTTCACTGTAATGCATCTCCTTTTATATTTTATATTGTGATCATTTTTCCACGAGCACCGCTACTGCAGACTCATGAATACAAATAGGACGAACAAGGAGGAAAGATTGCACAAACGACAAATGTCCAAAGTTTAGAATCACTTCACAGATGGAGCAAAAAAAAAAAAAAGATGAAGTCCATTGAAAACACTGAGCAGACGTTTTGGATTAATTCTGAGGCTTTGATTGTTATTTTATGTTATATGTAAAGTGCTTTGTAAATCAATTAAGTTGTACTGTTTTGGGTTGTATTGTATTTTATTTGATGGTTGCGTTTACAACCCAGCAATGCTGTGCAAAAGGGCACCTGATACATAAATGGCCTGAATGGAAAAGCTGTTATAGTGGGAAAGAAAGAAAGAAGCACCCAATTTCTGGGAGGCTGCGTGTGAGTGTATAGCTTTGGGCTCAGGTTTTTGGGAAAAGTTGACTGTGTCCCAGTTCCAATTCCATTCCTCCTTTCCAAAAGCAAAAGGCCATTTTCAGAGTAAAAACAGACGCTTTGAACCACGATGGGAAAAAATTTCAGGGAACGTACTCTAAAAGCAATCCACAATTCCCCCCCTTCTTTTTAGGTATAACTTATAGTAAAACTATAAGTGGGTTAGGAAAACAACTTTGCGGATATGGGAAGCGTGATTAGGCACAGGAAATATTATTTCCACAACATGAGACTGATTTATCACACTGGGAAATGGCTTGACTTGATTATGGGGTTGTTTCAGCAGAGAGCGGAGAGGAACGGGAGTTCAAGAGGATGTATTGTGTCTGGGCAAGTACAAATTGTAACGTCAACAAGTGAACGGCGGTAACGGCGTGTCGCTTCTGCCAGTTGTGAATTCTCGCCCAACGAGTCAGAAGGCTATGTTCGTTCCCTTTTGTTTATTTAAAACACAACATTTCAAATGAGGTCCGCTTACAGATTTGGGAAAAAGATGTAAAGAAATACAAATCAACAGTTTGGGGATAAATTTGTATTTCTGAAAGATGTAATATACTGGAATAGAATAGAATAGAATATAACAGTACACATACACACTAAGTATATTTATATGCCGTACTCACATTGTTAAAATGAAAAAAAAAAGAATAAATAAATAAAATTCAGATCCATACCTAAAAGTAATATTTATTTCTTTCGTCTATGGCTCACTCCTCTAAGTTCAATTGGAAGTGGTGAAGTCATTTTTGTATCATCCCGTCAACAAACAAACGGCTATGAAAACATCCGGCATCCGTGCAGAAATCGATATAGATATTTATATTGTCGAAATAAGACCGGTGCATGTTACGCTATTCAAAGGTTTTTGCATGCACACTTCTTGTAACCAATTTTCCTTACAATCATCAAAACAAAACGTTTCCTAAAGCCGGTATCCCACCGAGTAGCGAACATCTGCAAGTGCCGGCGAAGGGAGCAAATGCGAGTTCTTGTCGGGTTATGTCGACGTTCACCAACGTTCCCTCGGTGGGATGCGGGCTTTGATTGTTTGCGTGCTATGCAATTTTGAATCGTGATATAGTCTTTTAGGTGATCTCGAAAAGCATCCACAATGTTTATTGTTAAGTTAAATAATGAAAATCCAAAATGAATTCAATGCAATTTTGGCCTCATGGGCCCAGAGGTATTCCCTGGCGTCCGCTCACACCCAACTGACGGTTTCTTTGGTGCATGCTGCAACATGCAACTGTGTTATTTCAGTCATCTGAATAAGCGTAATACAACTTGTCCTAACAAGTAAATATTGTTAGTGAGACCCAAGAGAGACCGTGCGGTCTCATTTCCACATGGCAGCACTGATTGTACAGGAATGCTGCGGTGCTTTAAAAAGTTACCCAGCATGAAGCTCCCCCCCCCCCCCCCACTATACTTCCCCCCCAGAAAAAGTTTTCCACTGTAATGAGAAAAAGTGCTTCGCAGCCTTCATTCGGCTTTCTTGCCTGCTGTCAGCTTGTCGGCGTGGAGAGCGAAGGTCTCGGCCACAATCAGAGGAAAGACTAAAGAGGCATCGGCATAAACCTGGAAACGCAAAACAGAAAATAAAAAGAGTTACAGTAATCCTGCCATTGGCTAGTGACCAGTCCAGGACGTACCCCAACTCTTGCCCAACGTCAGCTGGGAGAGGCTCCAGTGGACCCGCAACACAAATGAAGACACGCGCTATAGAAAATGGATGAATGGATGGATCTTGCAGTACAATCACAGAACTGTTTTTCCATTTATTTGTATTTTGTGGAGCTTTAAGCTATGCCTTGTGACCCGAACCTCAGCATGCACGCATGGAGCTGACAATGAGCGGATACTGCCACCTTGAGGGCAAATTCAGAACCATCCTGACTGAGAGAAGCAACAACACTGTATGTAGCGTTGAACACTCACTTGCCACTCTTAGTGACGGTCAAATACAACAAAGCAATCGAGTCGACAGCCGTCCCGCGCGGGCCAATGAGTATTTGAATCAAACACAAACCAACATGCAAGTGCGCTAGCAGTCCACATGTGGTACCTCTGCTCAGCTAAAAACAAGCAAATGAGGCTACATTGAATAATGTCTGAGGTAATTTTGTTGAATTCCAAATGATACGAGTTGTAAATTTACCGTGTACATGGATTGTAAAGTACACGAGTATTGGTAAAAACATGTAGTCTGCGGACTTGAATTGAAAACAGAATCTGGGAATATACATACCAGAGTACAGTGTGACAACATGAGTCTTCTTTATAGCAGAATATTATATGGATGAATACTGATACCTTGACAGGTTTGGCATCGGTTCTGATCTTGCCCCAGGACACAGCCTCGTCGGGTCTGGCACCAGCGTCGGAGCCGTCAAACTCCTGGCCCGTGTTCACATACACACAGTAATCGGCACCATTTCTCTGTAGAGAGTGTGTGTAAAATAAAAAAAAGCTTGAGCTTTAATTGTAATTTTGTATGACAATTAGTTGCCACTCATCGTCATGTATGATCTTCCTGCACATCATTTAAGATGGGATGATGCATTCTCACATTCAAGAACAAATCCAAGACGTAAATTACTGTCAGTCATATTTATAAGAAATGTGCAACATGAGAGCAAGTTAATGGACACAACCACAAACCGAAGGTTTACCGAAAGGCCGCTTGTTGCCGAGACACAGGAGGCTTTTATAAACACTTAAAAAGGATGTTCATCAACACGGCCCACTGAATTCGAACTAAATGTGCAGCGGGCCATCAACATCTGACTCATTTCCTTTTTTAATGTCAACATCATTTTATGGGCGTATAATTTACGATGAAACAACAAGAACATGTGAGGAACCTCACTCGTACACCTTCTGTGGTCAAGCATTACAAGAGAGGAAGAACAGATGAGTTACCATGAGGTTGGCGTTGGCTACATGATGCTTGACCAGCCCACCTCCCAGGATGATCATTCCAGTCTTTTTGGCATACACGGCCTGACTGTTCAACCTGCGTATATCTATAAAAGAACGGACTCACGTTCAGGAAACTGTCAAATAATTATAATTTGGCATAAACAAGGAAATTTTGCTGTTTTACCTTCCACAATATCGAGTATAAGGCCAGGTTTCTTAAATGAGTGGAAATAAAGCATGTCGCCAAGAGAGCCATCTGTCAATGCAGGACTGAACACTGGAATGTTATTCTTGTGGGGGCAGAATAAACAGAACATGGGCATTACTAACGTGCACAATATCTATGCACTATGCAATTGAAATTTTCAATTTCATTTACTTGGGAAAAAAAAAATTATATTTATTCACTACAAATAAGTAAGCTTAGTTTATCCAGCAAAGTGCAGTCACAGGCAGAACAATGAAATGTTCTTCCACCAGATGGGAGAAGGTACAACTAACCTGCGTGTCCGTCTCACGCCATTCATACAACAGAAAAATAGTTTCAACTAAAAAAAGCCCAGACTTTACAATCAGTATATTTGTCAGTCATTTCTTTCACAAGTCAAGATTCATCATTCTATTCGTATTCAATACATTTCTTTGTTTTCCTTTAGTAGTGTGCCATGACATTTTTCGAAGATGCAATACATGCCTTGCCTCAATTAAGGTTGGGAAACATTGCTGCAGCTCTCATTAGGTCAACGGATTTTATGAAGAATACAACGTCAGACTCACCTTGTATGCCCAGTAGTAGACAGAGTCCGTATTATTGATCTCCTTGCCAAGCCGGTGGATCATTTTGGAAGGAGTCCAGCGGGTACCCTAAGTTTTCATTTCATTTCCAACCAACCACAAGAAACAAAATTAATAAGTAAGTGGCTAACAGCAAGTAGGTAAATTGAGTGCCTCTATTCGACTTGCCTCTGTATTCTGCTCCAGCAACATCTGGTCCAAAATGGGTATGAGCCAGTCTTCAAACTTGCAGTAGTTATCATTGGGCACGAGTAGGTTCCCAATCCTTGGACCAAAGAAGGTAGAGTGAGCTGATTAAAGAGCATGAAAGGGTCTTACGATAGATATACTGTACCACCTTAATGGGGGATCTTGAAAAATTTGCTGCCAGTCAGCCGAATTTGTACGCAAGTCAAAACGCACCATCATCTATTACTGGCCTACTCGAACGCAGTAGTTAAGTCATAATTACAGTTCAGGCTTCACCAACCTGTTGATTCCTCTCAGACGAAGCTCCTTGCCAGGTAGGCTGAAGTCTCCGAGGTATGTGTTAGCCAGACACTTAATCAAGTCTTCCTCTATGCCGCCTGCTGTGGTCACAACCACATCGACCTACACAAACGTCCACAAAGTACATCAACCGCGGACGCAGACACGCACGACTGCTTTAGTCACGTTGTCTTTTGCAGGTTCGTCCACAAGCCAACAAATGTCTTTTTTCACACAAGGTTATGTTTTTGTGAGGAAAAAAAAGGTGTGTTAAGAGCATTCTGATTAATACCGAATGAAGCTGCCATTTTGAATATGAATCAAGCTGTCATTTTAAATCGAATGCAAGTGACAAAATGGCCGCCCCGGACATAGATTAAAAACTGGTGGCTTTTGTTGCTTAATTCATATTCCACAAACACAATATTAATGAAAATGCCGCATTTCGACTAGTGGGGGTGGCACAAAACATTATATTGTTTAGAAAATGTTTGACTTGACTTTCACTTTAAGAAAGCAGACTTTGAAGCAGTCAGACTCCCAACATGTCATCAATTATCCTCAAAGTAATGTGAGTTGTTTGATGCTTCTACATTTTTGTATCCTAAATTGTATTCCATCTCATATATGCTAAGTTAAAAAAAAAAGACAAAAGGAAATCAACAACAGCATGAAAATTATCCATCGCATGTTAGTGACAGCAAACGTACCATTTTGTGTTCTACCAAGTATCGGATACTCTCCCTGACTCCAGAGCTGATGAGGTTTGAAGTATATCCCAGGAAGATGGTACAGCCTGGGCGGGATGGCGTGTCACCAGACTCATTATCGGCTTCAACTACCTCCAGACGTTTTTCAATCTAGAAGCAAATACATAAATGTCTCGAGGAAATTCTCAAACTATACGAAAAGCTATTGGCAGTAAATGAGTATATATACGGGTACATCCGCAACCTCTCACCATGTGGTTCACTTCCTGGATAGCCAAGCCGAGGCTACTGGCCTGGAAGCCTGTGGTTAAGTAGGACTTGAGAACTGCCTGGAGATCCACCCCCTGGTTAAAGTCGTAGCCTCTGATCTTCGGTAAGTCCTCAGGTAGCTCGCTGCTGGTTTTAAGTACAGCCTCAAGAGCAATAGAAGGAGCCTGTTCTGCCATGTCTTTGGCTGATCCTGAAAAGTGCGAGTGGGACAGTAGAACTGGTTTTCATGATATGCTTGCAATGTTGAGTAGCTATGTTACATATTGATGACTTCTTTTAAAGTTAAATTTCTCACCATTGTGTATTAGCCACTTATGGGAAGTACAAATACTTTGATACTGTACTTGAAAATTAACTTTTCTGACATTTTACATTTACTCCCTTTTTTTGAAAACGGTAGCACTTTCTGCACCTTACTTTGTCAAAATAGGGTCTTTTTTTTCAACCTCCACGGATCACAACACGTCAAAAAGAGAGGTCAAATCAACCACTGTTGTGACTTTGACTGACTGCAATTTTTATGTCGCATCCGATTCATCTGTTGCCTTGTTTAAGACAGTTGTTTGATACTGTTTGATACTGACTCCAAGAATAAGTCAAGGCCTGTGTGTTGTGTCATATGCCAGACTAAAAAGTACAATATTCAGATAAGAATTCTATAAAAATTCTTAGCTGAATCTGAAAGAACACGTGCTGATGCATTTTTCTTCAGCCGATAATTAGGTAATTTTGTTTGTTTGTTTGTTGTTAGTCACTTCACATAACTGTATTCGCAAAACCGTGGAAATTTGGAACATGTTGTTTTGATGTTTTTGCGCTGTGCCAAGTTATCATAACGTACATTGGGCTGTACATAAATGACGGTAAAATAGTTGAGGTTTTTGTGAGTTTTAAATGAGGGTCTGTACTTACTTTTTTTCCTCGAAAAATGAGTTCAATCAGTACTTCCACTCTAACCAAGGTCTTCTGCAATGCTACCTCTGGTATTATGCAATTAATGTAATGTTGTCTTGCCATATGAAGCGACATAACGATACCATGCTTCAACATGTTGTCTAAGGTTTGGCTAAAACAAGCTAACGACTACGCTATGCCCAAACTCCAAGCACGATGAATAAGATAATAAAAATTGAGAAATAATTCACACACCTTAAAGAGGGGCTGGGAAAGACGGTGCCTAAAAAGTAAACAGCTGTCGTAAATAATATCTATGGCATCCGCTTCTGGTGAAAATTTAGCAATAAACAAAAATGAGCAAAGAAATACGGCAACGCTGAGGGCACGACGGAATGCGGTGAAGGTCAAATTCCGTCTAAACGCGTTCGTCAAATTAAACCGGCCCATGGTGCTTCAGGGCACACTGTACTGTAAACCAACATGAATTTCCTTTCAAAATTTTTACCGTGAATGCCTCTCAGCACACAAAATAAAGCCATATAAATGGACAGTAAGATAATAATAAAATAATGTATAATAAAATTTAAAAAAAATCTGAAAATACTGTACAGTACTATATTGTAGAGCCATTTTGCAGGTCTTCAGAAAATAAACAATTGTGCCCTTAGTTTATACAAATGTCAGATGATAAACGTTTCTAGCATCATTTCATATGGCATGTATATTATCTTGCACTGTAATCATCAAATTTGAACTTACAGTACTTGGCAGCTTAGTCCTGTTTTCACAACACAATTGAGCAATTTTCAGCGCAGATCTTGATTTTAAAAATACAAACCTCATGACACCACCACTTCCACTTCATTGTACCCTTCAATATATGTCGCTGGCATCAATGTTTTTTTCCCCCTACATACCACTATTCGGAACTCTTGTACCAGTACTGATACTCGTACTATATTTTGACAACCACTGCATTTGACTACTATGTAAAATTATTGTCCATTTCATAAGGCGAAACTCATACCATATAGATTCACGACACACCGAGTGATATACTCAGTGATTTTATTTTTCACAATTTTGACATTATTTTTCATAATTGTGATGATCATAGCTTACAGCTATCGAAGACATTTTTAAAATGCAGAATACATCCTATTTTCACAACTTAACAGTGCATGATTGTGAGTTATGGATCCATATCCATTTTCACATGTCACTCTTTCGAGGCCTCCAGATTTCCACACACATATCCCCAGAGGTGACAGCCAGTACTCCGGCTTCCACGCTCAACTGGCGGAAGGGAGAGAAGAAACACGAGAAACATTTCGAGGTCACATTTACCAAATGTTGCAAAAGGAAAATGCCATTTTTATAATTACAAAAAGAAAAGTTTCTGAACTGTTATGCAAGCGACTCACCCCAGAGACTCCATCTTGGTGACGCAAAGTGCATAATGTCTTTGGAGGCCCACAAGGGATGTGGACCTGGGGAGATGGGAGAAGTTGAATTGGTAAAATCCCTGCGCAGATCTGTTTTGAATGCATTTGAGATGTTTGAAGATAATTTCTAAAACATGTGCAAAGATTGGGAACTACTCCACGCTTGAACCTTTTCCGTGGCTTCAAATCTCAAAGACGTTTACTTTCACTTTACAGGGACCCGAAAGGACAATAATAGGTTAGCTGCATGTGCAGAGCAACAAGGTTACCTTGACGGTAAAATCAGAGGAGCAAGTGTAGAGGCTCCCAGGTGACTTGTGAATGCCAGTGACCATCGCCGTGTGCCCCACATCGAACTGCGACAGGTGGTTTAAGACCCCCTGCTGCATGGAAAAACAGCGAAGCAAGCCCCTGATGTCTCCTCCCCAAATCTCACGATCACTGTAGCTCATAGAACGCAGGTAAGAGCGCAGCTGGAAAGAGGAAAAGGCATTTGGAGTTGTCTGTCACAGGATCATGATTTTCTATTGTGTCCATAAACACTTACCCGAACTTTATACAAGCTTTTGTCTGCCCTGCGATCGTGGACCACCACGGTGTTGTCTTTACTCGCAGAGATGATGTACTCGTCGTCTGCTGCCAGACACAGGACGGAATTGGTATGGTGCCTGAGGGTCTTCACCAAGGGAACAGCAGCTTTGCGTAAAGTAAAAAGAATAACTTGTAGAATTTGCAGATACAAGTACAACAAACACTGAGCAACAGCACCTCGTACACGTGCACAATCTAAGGAGAATCGGTACATGAGTTGCATGAAACATTCAGAACGGCACCGAGTAGAACTAAATCTAAAAATTTGTAAACATTTTTTTAAAACAAAGTAGCAATGCTTGCAAAAAAAACCCCGAAACTACATGTTTATAAAACACCATAATTATAACAAACTAACGAGAAAGGAAAAAAAAACCCTAAAAACTATTATAAACCTGCAGCACTACCCTCTTCAGATCACCCATTGTCAGTGAGTGTATGGCATACTGTAGAGGCGTCTCACCTCTCGGGTCATACATTTGGACGTTCTCATTGAAAGTACCAGCAAGCAACACATCAGGCAGACAGGACAAGCAAATCACGGCAGCTTCAGTCCTGATCACTCCCCTCTCTGCCCCGCAGGCTTGGAGGTCCCACAACCTCACTGTTCTGTCGAAGCCCCCGGAAGCCAGAAGGGGTCCCTGAGATGCTAAACACCAAACCCAGCCTTGATGGGTGTTGAAGTGGCCCTGGCCTACCAACGTGTGCATCAACATATTGCTAGAGTCTGCCTGCAGATTCCAAAGTTTAACATCCCGATCTCTGGAGCCTGTGGCGCAAATAGCCCCATCGCCGCCGACCAAGAGGACGGAGTTGACCTCGGCAATGTGGCCGGAAAGGAGAGTGATGCATTCTAATGCTGGGGGCGGACACAGGCTGCTGGGCGGTTGATGCTCTTTTTCTACACGTCCTCCATTACCCCGCAAGCCGAGGTGAGCCAAATCCTGTTGATGATCGGGATCATGGTCTTGGCCCTCAAATACAACTGGGTGGTGCCCATCTTCCTGCATCATTTGTTCTGGATTATCTTCCAATCTCTCTTCCAGGACTCCCCTCAAATGAACCAGCTGGTCCTCATCGACCACAGGGTGAGGTTCACCACCCATTTCTTCAAATACAACCCCTTCCTCAACAGCATATGCTCCTCCCTGTAGTTCCACTTGCTCTTGCTCCATAGCACCCGCGTTATTGTCTGCTGCTACCAGTTCCCCATTTGGCAAGTCCCTTCGTTGCTGCTCCACCCCTTCCGAGTCCGCATCATCTTGGTGCTCCTTGGTCCCAACCTGTGCTACGTTGGTCCAGCAGGTAATCAGTTTCTCAATTTCCAAGCAAGCAAAAGGCCAGTCAAAGTCTTCCCTTGGCCCCACTGGAAAGCTAGCTTTTGGCCCGATGAGTCTGCGTGCCCGCAGCTGCCAGGCAGTGTTGTCCTTCCCGACATTGCGCAAAGCATGACAGACCTGAAATGATAAAATAGAAAGGGATTCTACCAGGATTTTGTTCAAATATACTACAGAATGCCATAAAAGTGCCAACCTCAATCCTTCATTGACTCAATTCATTTTAATCGTAACGTGAATGAGGCGTTGACTCAAACATGCAGAAATCAAACTCAGGACCAATAGAAACTTAAGTGTTCCAATTTATTTGCAGCAAGTAGTAAAAATCTAGTAGCATGGTGGGGTAGTGGTTTAACATTTCTCCCTTCGAGATGGAAGATAATAGAATTCCACTCTCAGCTCAGAGTTTTCGTGGTTGTTCGTCTATGTTTGCCCTGCAATTGGCTGGCAAACAGTTCAGGGTGTCCCCCGCCTACTGCCCAAAGACAGCTGGGAAAGGCTCCAGCATGCCCGCGTGAGGATAAGCGGATCAGGGAATGGATGGATGTTCTCCTTGTGATGCCGAGTTTTCCCATTTGCCTTTTAACAGCAATGTCACTTCAAGTGATGTCATTTAGAAGATGAGGATAAAGTCAATGAAAAAAATTGATAGATGGATGAGTCTTTATGACTCACCTTTGGCAGCACAGAGATGACACACTGAGCAGGAAGATGTGAGGCAATGTGGGTTACCATCTCCCACGGCAATGACAACAATCCACTGGCTTCAGGAGAAGTGTCAGTATCTGGATGACTGTTGGGATTTTATTCCAAAAATCTAGTTATTTTCTACAAACAATGCATCTTCGTTTCTCGATGCCAGCGATCTCTGGTGATAGAACAATTACATATGCCACGACTCAATGGCAGTACAGGTACAATAAGCCAGATAAACTAAATGGGCCCACTTTAGGTACATTTGAAAATAAAGTGATATGAACATTATTTCAGTATATACACTCACATTACTTTAATGTAACAATTTTGTTTTGGTGGTTATGATGTGTATTTCGAATGTAAAACAAATGCATTGGCTCAATAAATGTTGGGAAACACACTGCATTTGGTCATTTTGATTATGGTTTTACCTTTGCATCTCCGCACTTGAGACTTCACTTGCCACAAACTTGTGAGATGCTCCACTATGCTCCCCATCTTTTCCGGCTGCTGCCCCTTTGTTCATCCTTACGTCATCCATTAACGAAACAGCATTAAAACATGTCCACCAAAGCGACACTTCTCACCTCCTTTGGTGTTTGCATCATTTGATCGGCAATACTATCTTACGCAGATCAGCAATAAAACTGACTGACTGAAGCATTAAACCAAAATGACAGGTCTTCGTTTCGCTAAAATAAACTGGTTTAAAAAAATACGCCCGTAAACCTATAGCTGATAAGTTAAACTACAACAAAAACGAAATACTGTACAATAACAAATTTCAAATGGCTCCTGCTCACCACGATAAAATGTATACTCCTCAATTAACTGGTAGTCATTTGTGACATGACACAAAAAAATGTAAATCATCCAAGTTATATATAAAACGCCCCGCACTGTACCTACTGGAATCGGTTATGTAGGTGTCGGCGAACTACAAATTCAAAACACCACTTCCGGCGACCGGAAATACGTCATCAACGCGCACCATGGAAAATATGCATTTTCACCAAATTGGAATCACGTCGGATGGATGTTTTCCTGCATCTTACCGAAAACTCTTAAATTTCAAACATTACTTTGTACCTGAAATTGCACATGGCGGTTTTCATTAACGGCCGCTGGCTGAAGGTTTTCCTGTTTTCCTCGTCTTCTAATTAAGATAACCTTTATTTGTCCCACACTGGGGAAATTTGCAGTCTACAGCAGCAAAATTGGGGGGGGATAAAGTGTTTCATTGCACAAAATAATTAAGCCTTGTTTCAGTAATTCACAAGATTACTAGATACTGTCACATTGAATAGCCTTAATTTATACACTGGATTTGAAAGAAGCTATTTTTGTCCATTTTTCTGAGTCAATGTCATTTTAAACATTAAATTCTCTTGACAATTTACTGACATAACATTTGGGGACAAACCCTCCATAGCAAATTTATGTTGCAAAAATACCCTAACACAGAAGTAGGCTATATTTCAATTTTCCTTTAATTTGGCTCAATTTGAGAAATTAGCAAACTCGTTAGAGGTGGATATTAGTGACGTAGACAGGAGAAAAAGAAAAAAAACACAAAAAAACGCTCAAATGTTTAATTAATCTTTACGTGCATAATAATTTGGAACACAGTGTAATAGAAAACTTTTATTTTCCCCTTTGATAAAATTAAAAATGAGTACATCAGCAAACATCCCACCTGCACCACAGTTAAACAAAAAGGGAGGTGAAACTCGCCAGCCTTGATATCATATTTAATCAGTTATGATTTGTCTTCCCTAAGGTATGCGCCAAGCCCAGACTCCTTCAGTCAACCACAACATCAAATTTGATGTAATTAAATGGTCCACTATAAAATGAATACTTCTTTAAACGAAAAGAATAAAAAGAAAAAAACTTTTGAAGTCCAAAAAAAATTTGTGCACAGACCGCACAAAAAACAAAATAAATAAAATACCACGAGCATGAAAATAATACAAAAAAAAAACAAAACAAAAAAACTTCATGTATCACAATATGCAAAGACCACCTCTTGCCTCAATTCTCGCTTACCAAACAAGTATTGCCATTAGTGAGCATCTTGAGTGCTTTAGCAGCTTTAAATGAGCCAATGCAACTGTGCTATAAAAGTACATACCAAAAACATTTGATAAAAAAAAAAAATAAAATAAAATTAATTCATAACGCTAGCTAATACTCAGGGACACAATGTGATGGAGTTACATTTTCCTTTACCATAGTCGTCCTATCAGAAGCTTGATCTGATTTTAACTGGTAGGCAAATGTTATTGGCCACACTCATTTTTTTCCCTCCCCAACTATGCTCGGCACATAACCTTAGGGTCGGGCTGGTGCAAAACAACATGTAAGCAATACTCGCGTACACACACCTTTAGAGCGGAACACCCACAGGCTAAAAGCCATACACACTTCCAATACAATTGTCCACTATGGACAATGGCTAGAAGACAAAGCTGGATAAAGATCCCTCTATCCAGCTATCCAGTGTCGGGTAGAACTATTGGGATCAGTGTATTTCCAGGCATAAGAAACACAGTGTCAACAGGTGGAATAACATGTCTGCTGTCAATATTACTAGTTGGATCAAAAGCTGGAACGGTAGCCCATTAGTCCAGCATGAACGTTATATTGCCAACAACAAAGCTCTTAAGCGAGATTCCCTCCAAAAAGGGACGCATTACAAAATGTCTAAAAAGGACTAACACTTAATTGGAAAGCATGCAAGGTTGATGACATCTTGGAATGACTGCCATTTGCCTCAAAACTTAAAAAAAAAAAAAAAAAAGATTGAGGGGGACAAAAAATTACGCAAGGATACAGAGCTGCACTGGGATGTAAAATACTGAAATAGCCCCTCCTCTTCAATTTTTATTTTAGGACAAGCTAAATCATTACTATGTTAAGAGGCCTGGGGTATTACCTATCATTTTATCATTGCTTAAAATGACTAACAATCCGGACAGTCCTATAATCCCTTATCTGAAATATCCCCTCAAGATCAGTACATACTTTAAAATTCTATAATTCTTAAAAAGGAAAAAAAGTGCATTCATATCAGTACGAACCTAGTTATTCTTAACGGCTTAGCTCTCATGTCCGTTTTGAAAGTTCTTGAGAAATTAAGAAGCAGTAGATGGATGTGTAACATACCTACAGTATTTCAGCTCTTTTGTTAATAAGTTTCCATCTACCCATAATTGGTATTGACGCAACCTTTCAACAATAAGGATGACGACCAATGTAAATGTGGGAGGGGGGTAGGGGGAACATCTTGATTGCTACACATGACGGCAGCCTTCCAATGATGACTATATAACTCAGATATTAATTCAACATGCATCATTTTAGAGCCAATCAGATCATAACTCAGCATAAAATGTACAGATGACAAGAGGAAAAGACCCTAGTAAATGCACATCAAAGGGTTTCTGCAATATTTCATGTAAAAAGGTGCAAATACATTTATGCACATTTCCTGCATTATTACATAAAAGCATGTTTTGTTTAGCCTCTGGCAAAAGCGAGAGGTGCCTTGTAATAGTAAAATCACGCAAGCCCGTTTTAACACACTGATGTATGCGCGTCAATATGCTGTGCATTGGGAAGATTTGGGACTATGGCACCCTATGCTGGTTCAGATAATTCAGTTTTAGTGTACCTATAAGACAACCCCCTCCCTTCAACAGTATTCTGAAATAATCAAATTGAAGAGGGGGAGGTCCAAGTCAGCCCCCCCTTTTGCCACCAACCAACTTGAATCCCTGTGGTGCTATTGGTAAAAGTCACTTTTGAGCATGTTGGATTTTGTTGCGAGGCGTGAAATCCAAGAGGTATACGTATATCCCTAAGTTTACCCTCCCTCCTCCCACCCTCCCTCCCTCACAGAGACACAGGGCACTAGGAAAGGGGGAGGGGACCCTCTGCCATGTGAAGGCCCGTCACGTCCCTCCCTGCTATGCTGGGCAGCGCAATGAGTCCCCTGGTATCCCCTCCCTAAGTTAACCTGGAGAAGAGACAGAAGGAAAAGAATGCACTGAGGAATTTGAAACAGTTGCTAAACTGGTATTGGTAGCATACACATACAGCGTTATGTCATAACATTCTGGATCAGGAATCATGGAACAAAATGTATCATTTCTTTTGTCAATGAGCTGGGTGTGTCATCATCTCCAGAAAGGCAGAGTTTAGACTTCTGAGCTAAGGGGAGACATTGGCAAACATACCAAACAGTTCAGCATCCAGTGTGGACTTGTTAGACGCCGTAGCACGCTGAGAGACGCTCCTTCAACAAGGGAGGGAACTGCTCTGAAAACTGCTGCCAGTTCTCTTGACCGACCTGGTCCTTGAAGCCATGCAGGATCTAGGATGAATCAAGGAGAAGGGAGTTGGTGAACGGTCAAAGTTTGTCCAACACAAGTTTGCACTTAATGTCTATGACTAGCTCGAATATTAAGATTTCCTTAAAACATCTTTCGGCCAGCTCTATCGCACTTCTCAGATTATAAAGTCATCCGCAGAGTGTGTCAGATTTCGAATGTCTTAGAAGTGATCATCACAGTGTGACGAGCCAACCCGAGACGCTTGGAAACATTTGAACAAACAATTGATGTCGCTCACCTTATAAAACATGTCCCTCAGGTCATCCTTCGGGTTGACCCAGGATGCCACGGCATCACAAAAGAAAATGAAGTCCTAAACAGGAAGAACTTGGTTAGGTAATCGAGGACACTGCCATACTCCGATCTGCATTTGAGACTTTACACCACAACAGCAAACTGTTCAGGGATCGAATCAGCTCACCTGCACAACACCGGCTGGGTTCACCCCAATCATCACACAGATTCCACGGAAGGCCGAATCCTTCTCTTCGTTATCCCTGATATTCCTCAGCGACGTGCACCTGGCAAGACAAAAATAAGTCACGTTAATTCCGTCAGGCAGGGTCCTCAAAATCATTGCAGGATCTCACTCAATGGACATGGTTGTGGACAACAACAGGTTAAAATAGGAGGGAATTTAAACTACATACAATTATCACTGTACAATTCAGTCTACTCGGCCTGCATACACAATATGCATAAAAAACCCAAAGAGATGAAAAAAAGCACTTAACCTTACTGTAAGAAATAAGTGGCAGACATCGTATCATGTTTTTTCATGAGGGTGTGCACTTGAGCAGATCTGAATACCAAGTTGGTGCTTCATTGTGTTCAGATTTGATTCAACACACAACACTGAATATTTCATGAAACGGAAACAATTCGTGATCGTGACTCACCATGGCCTAATAAAATGTTGAAGCTGTGGCGCCACTTCCTGAGGACAGACATAACCCAGTCTGCCTATTGTAATGGCTGCACATGAAGTACAAAAGTATTCAGAACAACATTCCTTTAATAATTAAAAAAAAAAAAAACGTTTGAGGTATTTCACGATTTATGTGCATACCGGTGTTTTCCAGCAGGGTCTTTGGTGTGTTGGGTCTATTGATGATCTCCACCAGGTGCGGCAAAACCACTCCAACGTAAAGTTGCATTTCTGCACCTAACAAATGACAAAACCACAGCAGCAATCCTGAACTTGCCCATGTACAAATTTGGGCTAGAGGATTTATTTATGAAGTCGACCTAACAAATCAGCAGAGGACAAACCGATCAAAGAGTAACAAAGTGGCTAAGAGGGTATAAGATGTGCATATGTGCAGATCTGCTGAATTGGTTTTAGCTTAATAGTTGCAGACTTCCAAAAGCTGCTAATTCAGAGGTGATCTCAGCCCTAATTGCATTGCAGGTCATGAATATCTGGATCAGAAAACCTAGGAACAAAATGTATCATTTATTTGTCAATGAGCTGGGATTTTCATCATGTTCAGATATTTAGACCTGGTCTTCAGACAGTCAGAACACAGGGAGGCAAACATGGGCTTTGTCAACTTCTTTCTTATCTACTCACCCATTTGCATGGCAATTTCCCCAATGGCCCAGGTAGCGTTGTTACACACCGAAATAAACTCAGGGTTCAGATTCAGGCCGAGGATGGGCATAAACTCAGCTGGCAACAATACCCACAAACATTTTTTTTAATACACATACAGACATCAGTGGGGTCACGAGTTCTGAAAAACACTCACCAATGCAGGGCTTAACATGCAGGAAGCAGACCTTTGTTAAATCTCCTAGAAGAGCAAAGGAGCTTTGCCTCACTTCCGGCATCGTATCCTGCAACACATACAAACATCTTATCAGATCCCTTTTAAAAGTAGAATCCATGTGAATCCAATTTGAACATCTGATCTACAAACAGCATCAACACATAAAAGAAGCAAACACTTGCCCGGACCTGCATGCACTGGAAAAGCAGCGTCATGATATTGGACCGGGCTACAAGTTGCTCCACGTGACTTCCCAAACCCTCAGCCAAGCCACTGAGCAGATCTAGGGCCACAATCATGAAATCCTTATCAGGAGCCTCATACTGGTCCGGATGCTGGTTGTACATCTGCAAAGGCCGCATTTCAGTATTTGTCCAAGATAAAGAAGCACACGCACACAAAATGCACATTTGGCTTCTCACCATAGCCTGAGCTAAAGTCTTCTGGACCAGGGTGACACAGCGCTTGTAGACAGGTTCACAGTAGGGCAGAAACCCACTCTGCAGTGCAGTGGCGACTGAAGACAAACACTGGGAGGAAAGGGGACATGCTACCATGTTGTTCAAAGTCCCAATGGCAGAGGGGAATTTTTACATTTTTACAGGAGACACGGTGCAGTAGAAACATTTCATTGTCCATGCTCAAATCAACAATTACTAGACAACGGGTGAATTTATTCTGGTCTTAATATTTACCTCCAAAAGAGGAAACAGATCCTTGTCCTCATCCTTGAGCTCATTCCACTTTGCAATAAGAGGGGGCATCAGCTTTTGAATATATTCCTGAGAAAACAAAACATGAAGCACTGAAATATCTGCGCGATTATATTGGTCCCAAATAAAATTCTTGGGTCATGGCCATGATAAAGTACTTACGGGCTGATTAAGGTGGTGGCCCACCGAGTCTGCAAGAGTTCCAATGGCATCGTAGAGGATGAGGAGATTCTTGTGCTGGTACTTTCCAAAGGCAAAGACCAGCGTGTCCAAAATGAAGCTTAAATATGGTACAAGCTCTGTGCATGCCTCCTCTTCTAAGGTGGCAAATGCGCTATGGCGAAAACAAAGATGGAGGAGGACAACAACAACAACAACATGACTAATCTATTCTATGGCAAATAAATGACTACCAGTCAACAAATGATTTGATAAAAATGATGTGGATCAGAACAGAATATGGGAACAACATGTATCATTGTTATTCAATGAGCTGGGTGGGTCATCATTTCCACTTGAGGAAAAGACGCTAGGGATGCTTACCTGCAGGCAGCTTCTTGAACCCTCTTGTTTGCGTCGAGGATGCACTTGAGAAGCTCTGTCATGAGGGGCTTGAGGTAGGAGTCGGGGGGCTGGGAGACGACCCAATGTGCATAACGACTAAGAGTCCAGCAGGCAATGGAGCGCACCAGGGCCTTCTTGTCACTGAGACACTGGATAAGGTGTGGGATGAGCTCTGGCAGGTAGGGAACCATTCCTTGCATGCAGCCTGGGGCATAAACAATAGGTTCATGTTCAATGCACTTTGATTTGAAGATCATTGGCAATGAAAGATCACCAGGTCTTACCCTCGGCAATCGCGCCCAATACGAGGATGCCAGATTCCTTGACGACCCAGTCGGAATGGAAGAGCAACGCTTTCAGGAGTGGCAGCAGGTGGGGCAGCAGCTCATCTCGAAACACGTTGGCAAGCACGTCCAGCGCTGCTGCTGAACACTTTCCTGTGCATCGAAATCAGTTCCTCAAATGTAGTCTTTGTTCTCAGCCGATTGGAAGGAGCATTCAAAGCATTCAATTATTGGCAAAGCGAAGCTGATTACAAATTCTAAAACTCAATCCATTTATCACAGTCATTCATGATCGATGCATTCACCGTTTGCTCACATATATAGAAAAACGTTCAGAACAGGACTACCACTCACGCAAATTCCAGTCAGACAGTGTGTCGTCGTCATCATCGTCTTCGTCTTCAATGTCCTCACTGTCCCCTCCCTCCAAACCTTCATGTTGCAAGGTGACAGTACGCGACTTGTGGAAACGGGGCTTGATGTCCTGGTCGCTGTCCGGTACAGCCTCGTCTTCCTCCACATCCCCCTGATCATAACATGCAATTGAGGCATCTTCCCAATCACCCTTCGGGTTCAATTAAATCGGCGGCTTCAACGATTTACATTACAATACATTTACGTTAACAGAACAGGAAAACTACTCACCTTCAATAGTATGATATCTATCTCTGAATACTTCATCCCATTTACCAAGATAGGGGTCAGTCTTTTTGAGGAAGATGAGGGAGGGGAGAAAAGAAAAGGTGATAAATCTAGTGATTCTTTTTCGACAAGCGGATAAAGTTACAGTAAATGTTCGCTACTCACTGCACCAGGTGTCCCGACAGCATATCCTTGCAGATGGGCTGCTCTGCCAGAGTCAACCAAAACTCGCAGGCTTCCAGAGCTACATTCTCATCTGGGTCCTGTGTCCGCTGTAGCATGTACTGCAGGAGGAGATATGAAACATGTTGGAGACTAATGTACCACATCTTAAACAAGGTTCTGGGTACAGAGCTGCAGCAAATCTGGATCAGAACTTTAGGAACTTAGGGTATCATTGTGAATCAATGAGCTGGGTGTGTCATCATATCCAGTTGAAATACAAATAATTCTGAGTTGAATGTGGAAAAATTAGATGGTCATCCACGCCCAAACCTATCATTTTTGAATGAGCGGCGATTCCCTTACCTGGATGATGCTGTGCATGTGGGGGATGAGACGATCAATGCGGACCTCCAGAAGCATGACCAGCGCTCGGCAAACATTCTTTCTGACTTCGGAGTCCTCATCTGCTGCCAGCACAAAGAGGCTCTGAAAAGGGGAACACTACATTTGAGGGGAAAGAAAAACCCAGAAAAGCAGGCGACCATCGACAGCGGGCGGGGAAACCAACATCAACTGAAACTGGCTCTGATTTCCTTTAGCATCCAAACACCAACCTCTATGAAGGTGTCAAAATTCTAAAACTCAATCCATTTATCACAGTCATTCATGATCGATGCATTCACCGTTTGCTCACATATATAGAAAAACGTTCAGAACAGGACTACCACTCACGCAAATTCCAGTCAGACAGTGTGTCGTCGTCATCATCGTCTTCGTCTTCAATGTCCTCACTGTCCCCTCCCTCCAAACCTTCATGTTGCAAGGTGACAGTACGCGACTTGTGGAAACGGGGCTTGATGTCCTGGTCGCTGTCCGGTACAGCCTCGTCTTCCTCCACATCCCCCTGATCATAACATGCAATTGAGGCATCTTCCCAATCACCCTTCGGGTTCAATTAAATCGGCGGCTTCAACGATTTACATTACAATACATTTACGTTAACAGAACAGGAAAACTACTCACCTTCAATAGTATGATATCTATCTCTGAATACTTCATCCCATTTACCAAGATAGGGGTCAGTCTTTTTGAGGAAGATGAGGGAGGGGAGAAAAGAAAAGGTGATAAATCTAGTGATTCTTTTTCGACAAGCGGATAAAGTTACAGTAAATGTTCGCTACTCACTGCACCAGGTGTCCCGACAGCATATCCTTGCAGATGGGCTGCTCTGCCAGAGTCAACCAAAACTCGCAGGCTTCCAGAGCTACATTCTCATCTGGGTCCTGTGTCCGCTGTAGCATGTACTGCAGGAGGAGATATGAAACATGTTGGAGACTAATGTACCACATCTTAAACAAGGTTCTGGGTACAGAGCTGCAGCAAATCTGGATCAGAACTTTAGGAACTTAGGGTATCATTGTGAATCAATGAGCTGGGTGTGTCATCATATCCAGTTGAAATACAAATAATTCTGAGTTGAATGTGGAAAAATTAGATGGTCATCCACGCCCAAACCTATCATTTTTGAATGAGCGGCGATTCCCTTACCTGGATGATGCTGTGCATGTGGGGGATGAGACGATCAATGCGGACCTCCAGAAGCATGACCAGCGCTCGGCAAACATTCTTTCTGACTTCGGAGTCCTCATCTGCTGCCAGCACAAAGAGGCTCTGAAAAGGGGAACACTACATTTGAGGGGAAAGAAAAACCCAGAAAAGCAGGCGACCATCGACAGCGGGCGGGGAAACCAACATCAACTGAAACTGGCTCTGATTTCCTTTAGCATCCAAACACCAACCTCTATGAAGGTGTCAATGTTGTTCATTAGGGCCTGTGCTCTGCCAATGATGAACTGGTTCACACAGGCTATGGCATGGGACCTGCATGGACCACAGAATTAAAGAGAATGGAGTGTATTCATAAAACGTATAGAGCGAGTTTCTATTTTTTCAGACCATAATGAACACTTAAAATTATTTCATTTTGAGCGATTGCTGGCAGCACGTTTCCAGTGTTACAATGTGGGACAATATCATTGCGGTCTGCTGGGGGGTGAGAGGTAAACCAAGTTCACTTCCTTCCTGTTTACTTTCACATTCTCATCTACATCGCTGTTTCCGTCACACCCGAAATACTTCCTGTTTTCTTGTCTAAGAATCATGGGAAATCTAGTCCTACTAGATAGCTTGATCAACGTAAAACTCTTTTCTGGCATGCGTTAACCCCGCATCAGTCAATAGAGTGAATGTCCTCCTGTCATGTACCTAATTTTTGGATTGCAGTGTTTGAAGAACTGAAGGAATTTCGGTATCATGATATTGAGCGGTCTGTTCAAAGCGTCGCTGTCCAGCAGCTCTGACGAGTCCTCGCAGATCTTCTGCAGTGCTCCAAACGAGCCCTGAGACACGGACACACACAGAGAGGCTGTCAAATCAAACGCAAACATACACAGAGACAGAGGAGAGAATGAGGTTGCGTGAGAAGATAACATGGCATAGCAGCAAAAATATTGAATTAAGAGATGACGCTATCTTGTCAAGAGTTTCAGACAATTCTACAGTAAAACTTCTAAATTCAAAAACCCTAAAAAGGGATGAAGAACACCGCATGAAAGTTACTGGTAGAAAGACCCAAGGTTGTAATATACAGCGTTGACCTCATTTTCTCCACTTTTACACAGTTGTGATAGGAGCCGTTTACTACCACCAGAAAGCCTTGTTTTGTTAACTTGCACTATCAAAGCGTGAGTAGCCGCATAATTTATTGCAGCACTTAACTTATCCTAACACTTCTGTGGCAGTTAGGTATGTTTTAAAAAATAAATAAATAAAAGATACTTTTAAATATTACCCGTACATTAAAAAAAGGGACTTGATAACGGGCTCACCCGTTCGGTTTCATTATTGAAACAGAAACTGAGCCGCTGTTGTAGTTTTGAGATTTGATTTTAACTAAACAGCTTAAAATAATAACATATAGTAAGAATGCGATGTACCTCGCATGTATTGTAGTCCTCCGAGTTGAGCAGGTTGCAGAGCTGAGGCAGGAGCTCAGGCCATGCCTGCAGCTCTCCCTTGGAGGAAATAGTTGTTATCAGGATGCCTACAAGACATAGAATAGGACTTTAATCAGAGATGAAGGGTGAGTGCATTCGTGGTGGGTTGGCAGCATCTCTGGATCAGACAGTATGAGTACAAACACCTTCACTGGCAGTCAGATGATGAATGTATATGCATCACTTCCAAAAACATAAGATGCCAAATAGCGTGATTACTTGAGGGGATCGACACTCACCGATGGTGGCACGGATGAGGGGTGAGGGGTCGCCAATGTTGTTGACACATTCCTGCTTGATGAAGTCGGCGACGGTTGGCGGGAAGTTCTGGTAATGGGCCTTAACATTGTTCTTCAGAATCAGACCGCTGAGAGAGCGAGTCGGCTCGTCTGGAAAGTAAGAAGCAAGGGTGATAGACTTGGGACACAATGGGAAGTTCTGTGTACAAAGATGAGGCAAGTTAATTGATGAATATGAGTTTGTCAGAATATCAAAAATGTAATCTCTTTTTAATGGCTTCCGTAACTCAAGGTACGTCCCCCACGGATGTGCACCACTTACATTAACATGGCTGTGAACAGAGAGGAGCTCGTTGACAATAATAAGTTACCAACTTGATTTGTTTGATAGTGACTTGCTTACTATGTTTGTTGACTTTTCCAACTGCTGTAACAATTTCCCAATCACGGCAGAAACACATTTTGTTTTGTCAGTGGAAAAGTGTAAACAGCAAGTAAAGCCATGGAGAGGCAAGCTGGTACGTTGCAGCGGAAAATTGGTGCAATTAAGTTTCATTTCGGGGTTAAACAGAAATCCTACAAACCACAAGATTCCACTGTAGCAGAGATTTTTTAAAAAAGGATGACAACTGCATGCTTACCTTCAGTTTTAAGTCTCGTGAGGACAAATATGAGATAGTTGTTGAAGTCAGGAAACTGGTTCAGTTGTTCAAGTTTCTTTATAAGTGGTTAAGGATAATTTCTTCATGACCAACATCACACGAAAATATTTGATAATTATAAGTTACACGATTCATACTGAGTTTTCCATAGCCCTATTTAGACAGAATGCCCAACATATAAAGAAAAACATAATCAACCGGTGAACAGTTACATTCATGGAACAAACATCCCCCCGCCTCCCTAAACATTAAGCAGCTTCTTCGAGAGTCATGTGACAAAGACAGGATACTTGTTGGACGGCTCTCTGTGTTGCTGTGTCGGGTGATTGCGAGTCCTTGAGCAGTTGAAGGACCTGCTGGAGCCCCTGCTCATCTGGCTGCCACTCCATCCTGTGCACACGCATTAATTAATTAATTTGGCATCATAAAATACATAGTAGGGGGTAGTGAACGAGTGGTCTTAGGATCAGACAGTATGAATACAAAGACCATCAGTGAGAGTCAGTTGTACATGATGCATCATCTCCCCAAAAAAGTACAAATTTTCACATATCACTACTTCACTTGACTGGGTCCGATTAACCCTTTTGGGTGAGCCATGTGGCAGCCCTGCCAAAACTGGCCCCGTATATTTCATAAATTGACAAGTTACAATGAATGTTACACATTTAACATTATTTTTTTTAACACAAGCATGTAAGTTTATAATGAAAAACAATTGCCTGCAGGGAAGCTTATTTTTGTTGCACCAACTTATCAGAACGGGTAATGTGTTTGATTGACGGTCAAAAACCATTTTTACTTTTGCACTCTACTTAGGTACACTTTACAGTCTGTACTTTTACTTTTGTACAAGAGTTGCATCCGTAATATTTTTGCCAGTGTCCTTTTTTAAGCACGTACCTGTAATTCTGCTTAAGTACAGAGAGGGAGGCTTTGGACACCTCCGGTTATATTTACGGCTATAAATCCGCTTTGGGAAGAGGCTAGAGGCCCGAAACGAGCACATAAAAAAAAAAAGAAAACACGGGCGGTTAAAATCTATGACCCGGCTTAATCCTTCAAGTTAATCCTACCACAACCCCCACACCACCCGTTCAATCTTTGAAGTATATATAATCTAGGAATGCGGTTATGTAAAAGCAAATTTAAATCGGAACACTTGCAATGTAGTACGCGTGGATTTGGGGTTGATAGCCTTGCCTGGTGAACCCGCATTCTAGTGATTTTGGCTGAGAGACGGCGAGGCTAAAAGTCAGCTAACTTTAGCAACGTAGCAGGACCGCCGTGTCCAGGTCTGACTGTTACCAAAAAGATTAGGCACATAAATGAAACAGCACCAACAAATCAACCTACACGATAACTACAATAAAATATTACGTCGATTATTTGTTCTGCTTCACGTTTAGATAACGATTCGCAGAGCGGATTCCGCTAAACGAAATTGTCCTTCTAGCTCGGGCCTGGTCGAATGTAAAGTTTCAAGGCATCGTGTTCACAGATGACGGGCACGGATAAAACGCAATTACAACGCGAACCCGAACAAGGAAGCCCAGCCCAATTACTGTTAGCATGTCAACAACTCGAATCGGATTACCAATCGCAGTCAAAGTGATGTCAGCTAATAATAGTTGCAAACTTGTTGAACACGTTGCGCAAGGTGGTGCTAGTGCTAATGCTAGTACACGAGCTACAGCTAAAAAACGACAACTTTAACCAAAATGAATGCACTCCTTACAATTGAGGTAAAATAGACATCGTAATATCGAAAAAAAAATGATGTTCGAACCTTACGTTAATATAGTACGTACAATAATGACTTTTCGTTGATTTATTAATGCTGGGCCGCTCTTCCACCGTCCCTCGTAGCGGTTCTTGTTCAAATGAGCACTCTGACTGAAACTGACTCCAGGCGGCTTCCGTTAGGGCAAAATCATTTTCTCGCGAGAGTAACTAACTACAATTAGTTAGCAGTATTTTCCCGTTGTTATATTACTCGTCATATTCATCATGCGTACATCGATAGTTCTCCAATTCCAGGTTTTATATGTACCCTCATGACTGACGTTTGTAATTTTCGAGCACGTAAATTCCATACACCATACGAGTCATTTTTACTGGCTGGCGAGGCTGGTTCGGTGGTTTGTGCCACCGCAAATACTGTAATACTTTGCTATGCGGTGGTACATGCAATAACCGACATGAAAATATACTAACGTAGTAGGCCTATTTATTTATCAAAAAGGAAAAAGAGGCCACAACGTACCTTTATTAATGCAAGCCACTTTAGCATTTTGCAGTTTGAGCATTATCTGTAAACGTAAATGAAAAGAAAATGCTTGATTCAAGTAAAATAGGATTGCACATCAACTTAAATAAACTGTGACCCAAAGTTGAACATAACTTATCTCTACTTTAAAACTGTGTAAACAAGTAAAAAATATAGACTGGATTTTAAAAGGTTTATACAGGCTGTATGCATCACTACAAGCCTATTTTTTATGTTTGATTGTATTTCACATATTGAATGTTTTCAATTTTATTTGTATGAATTCAATGATTCTTTCGCTTACAACTATTGCAACAAATTTTGACAGTCACTCTGCTTTCTATATATATTGTGTCTTATATGATTCAAGGAAACTGATGGCAGCTATTGCATCAGAAATGTTTATTTCATAAACATTTGGACACTGTTGAAATGGCAATTTATGTAAAAAAATATATATACAGTGCAGTATACAGTAAAAAAATGTAAAATAAAAATTATATATATATATTATACACACACACACACACACTCTGGATAAACTTGCCTGTCTATTAAAATACAGTGATTAACTCTTCAAATGTGCTTTCAGTCATGTATGTACACTTAATACCACGTTCTTATTTGTATACATTTACAGTGGGTTGAAAAGAAAAAAAAAGACAATTACTGACTCAGCAAATATTACTCATGAAATCCTGGAAAAAACTTTAAAAAAATACTGCTTATTTGTATGTGTGTATACAAGATGATGTTAGCATCAACAACAAAGTATTCCTGACAATGGTTATTGCCACTTAAATATCCCTAAATGTTCATGACACAGGCAACTGCAATCTTCTTCATTTTCAATAATTTCAGCAAACTAAAATGTAATGTTTCAACAGTTAGTCAAAACATATCATTCTTTAATTGACAGCACAGTGTAATACTGTATCAACCATCCAATATTTCCGCTGCGGTTGGCATGAAGTGCTGTTCATATCCTGATGTGTCTGGTTCTTCTTCTGATGAACTCGAACCATCATCCCGCCCGGCCACCCCGCTCACATCTTTTTCCTCCTCAGAGTCAACCATTTTGCTGTACTCATCTCTGCCATATCTATGTGTCCTCCTCGTATATCCTTCTGACGCAACTGCTGGTCTTGTTTGGTCTTCGGGGAGGCATTTTCGTTCCCATACAGGACGCTGGATTTCCACCACCTCTAACATGGACATGATGGGATGCGGTTCATGGATGGGGACACAGATCCAAGCCAAGGGCTCATTCACCTACAGCGATATCCCACAAATAAGTCAGACATTTTCTGTTAAAAGGTTGATACTGCACAGCCTTTACTGTAATGGAATTAAACTCACCTGATACTTCATCATTTCAAAGATGGTGCTGTTGTATGGATCTGGTACGTTCTCATTTATACAAAGACATGCTTTGCTTGTTCCTTTATGAAAACTAAATACAAGCATGTTGTGTTAGTGATGTTGAAACAGGAAAATCCACAAGTACTTGCTAGTCTCTATCAGACAAAATGTTGTATCTCACCTGAATAAAACCAATAGACAGCATATTATGACTGGGAGACAGAGTAGGAGCAGGAATGCAAATACGTGTGCTAAGAAATACAAATAACGAGAGGTATGGCATCAAAAAAGTATCACATATGACAAATCCATATTTATCAGAAGGGTAATTAGGAGAAAAGAGTTACTGTACATTTTGATTTTAACTCAAGATGCTCTTGTTGCTTTGTGATGAAACTGATGGTGACGTTGGCTCCTGGCCCAGCTTTAGTCACAGCCTTGATCCACACTTCATACTCCTCATCTGGACTGAGGTTTGGCAGCTCAAACGTCTTATTTTCATCCTGAGGGGAGGTGCTCACCTTGTACACTGTTGTAGGAAAATGAGGTTAGTTGATGAAACGTTTACAAACGCACACAGATTTTGAAATGATTAAGTGACTAATATAAGAACAAAATTATTGGTCCTCATCCATTCTCGAAAGAAAAACTCAATGGTCACTAAAATAATTTCAAATTGATAAATAAATGGAAAAAAATATTGGCAAGTAAAAAAAAAAACAACAACAATGTAAAGCTAGCATTTTTTATTTCACTTACAGGCTCATATTTTGTACTACACATTTGTATAGTGTAGTGTAGATCGAAGATTCGAGATTGTAAATATATTAGCAGCAGTGAAGTGGCCATTTGAAGGTTATTTGGTCAATTGTAATCATGATCGAATGTATTTGGCAATTTCAGGTTATTTCAGTAACCACTGGGCAGTTTTAAGGAGTTTCTTTTGTAAATCAACCGAGTGTGTTTACTCTTTGCTGTTTACCTGTTTGTCCATGGACACCTATTTCATAATGCAAGATCAGCCCATTCTGCATGCTTAGCAGTGCAGGCTCCCAAAACAGCGTTGCATGTGTCGCAGCAATAGAAGTGACTTTAAACGAACGTACTTTGGCAGGAACTGAAAAGAGCAAAAAGACATCATTGATTGAAAATATTTTTGGGGAGGGAATACTAATTGAATGTATGGGATACTTACTTCCGTGAGCAGAATATTCCATAACAGAGGAAATATGATGGCTTTCTTGATTGCTTGTAACAGCGAACAGCGACACTTGGTAGGGTTTGTATTTTTCAAAACGTCCTGCAAGAGGACGCAGCCAAAGTGAAACCGTGTTGACTTTTTAAATTCACATGACCATGCAACACCTTAGTTACTGTAAAACTACACGAATAAAACAAACCTGTCAATGTAACCGTAGTACAGGTTTTATTGACTCGGATCCAGTCAAATCCCTTTCCCAGAAGACGTCCGGCTTCTTTGTATTGCACCACAAATTCCTTGACTGATGTGGCCTCGGGGAGCTGAGAGGGCAGCTCCCACGAGACGGTGAGGTTCGCCATATTCATCCTGACATCAATTGGGTGCTCACTTCTCATCTCACCTATAATCATCAGAGCAAATTATTGGCTATGGAATTTCAACCGGGCCAAGGGGCAAAAAGCAAAAGCATATGCCAAATAAATAAAGGGAATTACTGCATAAATAGAAGAGGAAGCACACAATTCAACAACAAACTTGGATATGGGTTTTGAGTACAACAGCAGCAGCAAGTAACCCCCACAAACATGCGACATGATCAGGAGTGTGAAATCTAAAAAAGTAATTTGATCTGTGTTTCTGTTCCCCGGCCAGCTTATCATGTATTTCTCTTCTGAACTACTGCAGTAATAATAACTCAAATCTTTTACAGTTTCGGGCAGTTGCAGTTGGAAGACTAATGAAAAAGACAGTCAGTCCACAATTTTCCTTGTATTTGTCCTAATTTCACTATTGCTTCCAATCGAAAAATCTGATGACAATCTCGACAACTGATACCTGGCACTGCAATTGTGAGGTAAGAGGGCACTGTGGCACCATGTGCGTTGTAGGCCGATATACTGGCTGATGACACACTCTTTAAAGAGGAGTTGAGATAGCACTGCAGCTCATCGCACACCAACCGGCCCCTCGGCTCAGCGACGGAAATATTCACGAATGCCGTCGTGCTGTGTTTGGAGAACAGCGTAACTTCATACCCCAGAATGTGGCCACGAGCCTGAGACAGTGGAAGCTTCTGGAGGGACACAAAAGGAGTATAAATATGGCATTACCCAAGACAGTTGGATTTGAGAGGTTCTCAACTCAACTCAAATGTATTTATAGAGCACTTTCAAACAGCCATCGCTGCACACAAAGTGCTGTACATGGAGCAACTAACATATACAACAGTAAAGCAAAGCAACAAATCAGTAACAAAGACGGTAGAGAGCACCAAACAGTGTGACTAAGATCTCTCTGCATGAAATGACTGTACTTCCTTCATTATTGTCATCTTTTTGTGTAAAGAAAATTACAGCTGCAAAGCTACATTCCAGTCACATCTTCATTGTTTTCTTTCTCATATATTGCGGTGGCAAAACGGTCATTGTCCAAATACGGACAACTAAATCAAATTTGACTTTCTGTTGTGTTATACAAAGACGTTGATTGGTCTGGTACGATTACCATACCCCGAGGCGATAACTATTATTACCATTTAAAAATTAATTGTGTGTTGACTACCTTCCAGATCAGAGCACAATCAATATTAGTAGCAGGCATGCCACAATCCCTCCATACATCCATCTGTCCAGTGGGGGCTGAAAAAAAAAAAAAAAAAAACCAAGTTGTGCTCCAAACACAGTCGAGTGACATTTTTTTAATAGGTTGTTGAACTTATTTCAAAACCGTCTCTTAAGAGAAGGCCTACCTTTCTCATAACTGATTCTATGGGTTGCACTCCAATCACTCATCATGCCTGTGGCACAGGAACAGCGAACCTGAAATTCGTAGACTAATCCAGCCGGGATCAGACCACTGAATTCGTAGATGACTTGCGCTCCAACTTCTTCCTAAACCAAAAGTACAACACAATGAGCGAGAGCACGGTAGAAGATGAAGGATTTCAATTTTAAAGCGGGATTATTACGTATATTATTTCAAGGGGGCGTCTCTACCGTGTGTGAGCAAAGCGAACTGCTTCATTTTTCACAATCATTTCAGATCCTTGCCATTTTTTTTTTACCTGTCCAAATTTGGTGCATCAACTTCAGAGGCCATATTTATTTTCACTTCAGAGAAACTTGAAGTCCTCTGAAACCGCGCTTTCACTTTGAAAATGTGTGTTTAAACCATACGTTCCTCATTCACTAGTTTAGCTTTGAGAGAGGCTGAAATTCTGAGGATTTTGCAACGATTTCTATTTGCACCTCTCAACTGAACGAACCAGGCAAAATGTATACCTCGTGCCAGAGTTTTCCTACTTCAGGCCGAAATCGGACATCACATGATCCCAAAGAGAGGTGCGGATCCTGACAGATGGAACTCCAGGATATTTCCAAAGGATCTTGAGGGCTCCATGAAATTACAGGAGACGATGGCTTCACTATATGCAAAAATGGGGCAGAAGTATGTTAACTAAATTAAGTGGTGTAATTTTTCAGACGGTTGAACAACATGTATCTTCATAGATCTGTGTTTATATATGAGTCAGAGTTCCATGACTCACCGAGGTCTCCGGTGTTGAAGATAATCACTTGCGATTTGGCAGAACCGTGTTTGCTCACAGCCTGCGCCCAAACACGAAGTTCACTGTTCATGAAAAAGTGTTCACGGTCGATCAACCCGCTCAAACTGGTCCCGGTATCCACACGGCCCTCTCTGGAGAGGAAGCAAGAGGAGATCTGGTAACTCCAGTTGATGATGTTCACTTACCAGAAGTGGGTCGTAACGAGCAACAGTTACTGTTACTTTAGCAAGTTTTTCGATAAAGTACGTTTAAGGCGACAAACTACTTTTACTCAACCATTTTGATCTACATTTCACTCGCTACTTATAGATTTGGGTCACATGATTCTGTTGAACCAATTCAACATATATACAAGTGACATTGGACTCCATTTGGCCCATCACACAGAGCAGTCACGTGACTCAGTCTCCACGCTGTAGCCGCACACTGAGAGTGACTCATTTACAAGACAGACATTTCGGTTTACCTTACCGATCGGCCTCTGTTAACTCGCGACCCATGTGAGGTAAAGAGGAATAGAAAATGGATGCATAGACGATGGAAAACGGCCGTGTCACGTACTGTTATCTGTGTGTAACCTAAAAACGTTCACATTTCAGCCTACAATAACACCACCTCAAACTTCAGAAAACACGCTGCTATTTTCTATGTAATCTCTGTTTGGTGAGCAGACTATGTAAATTCATTTATATTCATTTTATATATATATATATATAGATATATATATATCAGAAATACCTCACTAGTTACTCAGTAGTGAAGTCATTTTTTTTTCATTGCGTACAACCCTTCTAGTTTGAGTAATTATTTGTAAAGCTCCATTTTACTTTGCTTCAGTCATAATTGAGTTATTTTGAGTTACCTCCCACCTGTCATTTATTAGCCAGTATCAGTTTGCACTTACTTGCTATGCAATGTTTCCCAGTGTAGACTGTAGTTTGTGGGGACCTGAGGATCAAATCTGTGATTCCAACTACAGTGGATATCAACCCCGCAGCTGTCACAACAAGGAATGTGGCACTCAGGTTTGGAAGGGGGCTCTAGAGGACCTAAAGAACCAAAAAGAGTAAACAAATTAAATTTAAAAACAACAACAAAAATTCTATTTTTAAATGTGTGACCCTTTGTACGGCAAATTTTGTAACGTCAACCTGAATTGAAACCGATCCCACAAGACTCGCGAAATATGTTTGATGATGTTAAACAAAAGTGGGGAAAGTATTCGTTTGAAAAGAGTGCAAATACTTTTTCAGGCCGTAGTCACTACGGATACAAGGTATGTGGGGGCAGGTGGGTAGCGGTTGGGGAAACCCACCCACTATCGCAGAGTTGTAAAGAGTAACGTCATCGTGATCATATTTGAGTTGAATTTAATTTCAATTTAAGCACAATGAGCATGTGTCATGATCGTAATAATTCAGTTTCCATGAAATAATGACATCAGGGAGTGAGAGTTTAATTTCTACAAAATTTGTCGCCATTAAGCTGTTCAATGTCACAATGCAGCACGACAGAGCTCAGCGGAGCACTAACATGAAATTAGCAGAATGCACACTTTCTTCACAGCTCGTTTGTGTCAATATAAACGACAATATAAAACCTGTACCGTAGCGCGGTTTAGGGTGCAAATGAAGTCACAAAAGAGCGTACCTGCAGCAGCAAATAAAATTGGCATGTTGACTACTAAAATCGAGAGAAGCCATCCTGCGGCCATTACATTTGGACTGAGCCCTTTTGTGCCTGTGAATGTAAACACACAGATATTGTGTTGTTACAGATAAAACTAATATTTAGATATTTGTGAAAAGACCAACTGATTTAACTTACTGAGACGGTGTTGTGTGTGTGTGTGCCAAAAGTATGTATTATGTCAACTAGACGTCCAGAGTTTCCATTGACTTCTCAGGCCTTGGGCAGATCTGGTATGTGCTGTCACACCTTGAAAATGTGCATGGTGGTAAAGCATATTAGTTGTGGTTAAATATTTTTTCCAAGCCTGCAAAAACATACAGCTTCGTGTGATGAACGGGCCTGCCTGTAATTCAGTCCATAATACTGGGTGTCCATAAGTTCTTTACAAGTTCACTAATTTATTCAAAATGCAAATGAAAAGACAAATCGATGGACAATTGTGACAAAATAAGGTATAGATATTGCAAGTTTGTTGCCTCAATTATTACACCACACGATGATGCCCATTAGTTACATGGCAAACATCGAGTTGGTAATAAGAGTTCTTGGCTTGCGAGCATCTGTGATATTTTGCTTCAGATCATTCATGTGTTTGATTATTCTTTGATGCAAGAGGTCTGTCTTTAATATAACCCCACAGAACGAGTTTTTGGAATATTATATCTGATAAATTAAGTGGTCAGGGAATTGGGCCATTCTTTTCAATCCACATTCTGGAAATGTTTGATGTTGAAAAACTGTGTTTAACATATCTCATCATTGATTGCTCGTTTTTTTTTTGTTGTTTTTTGTTTTTTTTAACATTTATTTTGTTTATTGTAAAGGGACTTTTCATCCTATATAGCAATTGGTCAACCACATTGTTAGACAGCCCAAGGTAGGAAGAATGTGACTGTTACAGAATTATAAAACCATTTTTAATACTCAAAAATCTCCAACAGAGCTCACACGCCATTAAATGGGCATACTAAGCACAACTTTATTCATTTCCTTTTCAACATTTTGACTGGTTCCAGTTTTTCAATGATACATGTGTCGAGCACACTGGCAACTCACAGACATGAGACGAAGCGGATTTTATCACAGGGGCAAAACAACGTAATCTCACTGCAATGTGAGATGCTTTTGATATTTACGAAGTACATTCGACGAAATTCCCTAATGACGATACTTTCATGTTATTTGATATGTCCGTAGTCGAGAATGAAAACAAACAAACTAAACTTCCTGTGTTGAGACGTTCGGTGACGTTATACTTTGGAAGCTTCATTCTCACAACAGGACACACGTTATTAATAGATATTGAATACAGTAATTACGTACCTCATCTCCACTGAGACTCCCACTGTGCATGAATTTGCCTTCCGTCACGCGTTATGTCTGACATTTTGCAATCTCACATTTTGACCGGAATCTCTTAGCCACACCCCTTCCAGCATTTCCTATGACGCAATCGTCACGTGATATATGCGGAAGTAAGACGTTTTCCATGAAAAATGTGTCGTGAAGTGATCGTGTCGTGAAGTGAATAGAAACTAAAACTTAAGCTTTAGTTATAAGATTTTTTTGTTCTTCCTCCTCAAACATTTATTCTTTTATTACAGAATCTGGGTTGCATTTATGTATTATGTCGTTTTCTGACCAAATTGTTACCAAAGGTTCATAAGAAAAAAATGAGTGCATACATTCACGTGTGTGTTTAGTTTTAATATGACCAGTATACAAAAACATACTGTAAGTATCCCTGTGTGTGCAATTGTTGTGTTCACTTCTCAGCAAAGGGAACTGATCTCACTCTTGCTGCAGCCCCACTTGCAGCATGCGTTTGAAAGACCCAACACAACTTCCCGGCCCTTGCGATCTGCCTTCCTGAGGGCTTCCAGAATCTCTTCGGTGATAAAAGAACGAGTTGGCCGGCTGAAGATTCTGCCTTGGTTTTCACTTGATATGAAATCCAGATCTCTGTTTCTATGAAGTATACTCTCCATCACAGGATTGTGACTCAGTTCCTCTGAGGACTCTTGATGGGAGCTGAATAGATCTTCTGCTGCAGAGAAATGAGTACAAGTTGAGTTTCAAAGGAATTCTACAAGTGTCATGTCACGAAAATTGGATATAAGAAGTATTTTAGACACACACACATACACGCACATACACACCCAACCCGAACAATTCCGTTACAAAACAGACAAGGTATTATCTCACCTGATGATTTGAGCGATCGCCTCCATCGTGAGCCGCCACAGGTGAAGATGACTGATCGGATGAACTCACGGCCACAGAGCTTGACGCCATAAATTGGGTTTTCCATCGGCTGAACTTCATTTGCCAGCAGACACAGAGCCAAAAGCATAACTTTCCACATAGTACCCCAAAGGAAATAAAAGCAGAGTTACAAGAGGAAATTATTTATGTTGTGCAGCAATTGGGTTTGTGCTTCCCCGTCAGCAACAGGTTTGAACTATGTGAGTGGCCCAAGCGGGGTTTATAAAGCAGTCTGAAGCCCTGAAGGGGGACATGCATATTGCGTATGCAGCATCCTCTGAGAGAAGAGAAGATTTGAAAGCGAGATACAGTCCGAGACCTTTATGAAGAATAAAAGGCAGACCAAAGGTCGGAAGCACCTAAAGTGCTTCAGTTAAATTTATTGTCCCCCAAATTCATATGTAAAAGAGGTCATCAACATGAATTGTGGGTAAATTGTAAGGATCATGGTGAGACTAACTCTGTGAACCAGTCAGATGATTCGAGCAGACAAACAAAATATGAGCATGTTTCACAAGAACAGCATTTTTCTGGTACCGTTTGAAAAATCTCTCGCATGTTCACTCAAAAGATGCTCTTGTGTTGAATTTCTTTATAATGTGACCTAATGTTATGACAGGTGAGTGTATATCCTATTTTTTTCTTCTGAATTACTACTTGCAGTTGGATTACTTCAGGAATTTGTAAATAAATTAAATCAATTCAAAATCTTTTGATTGTATAGTAATATCATACTGTTCCTACATAACTAAAAATACGTATCACTATAAATATGTTCCTGAAAATGTAAATACACTCACCAACATCACTATAATAGTATATTAAAGCCGTATTAACCAAAAACCACAATTATCTAAGTATTGTTTCATTCTGCCATTCTAAATCACTAATTACAATTTGTATGACTTCCGCATTACCACCCTGTGCTCTTGATAATGACTTTTTCCCCGTCATTTCTTTAACGGAAAGGTGAGCGGAGAGAACAGAGCTATTACTGTTGACATTTTCAAAGTCTGATAACATGGAAGTCTAGTTATGAGTCACACAAAAATAAAACACCTTTTATCTGTGGAGCCACTAGTCAAAGGTCGTTCATTTGGAAAATTACAATGGCATGATGAATTTGTAATTAATGTGACAATGGCAACGAAGCAAAATGGCATTTTAAGCATGACATTCATTAAAAAGAGTCATAAAAGTCATGCAAGGTCAACTCGTTTATATTGCTTAGAATTAATATGACCAAGTCCAATAGGCAGGTGATCTTCCATTTTCTATGCTGCTTGTCGTTGCTAGGGTTAGCTGATGCGTCGTTCAGCAGACTGTGGGTGCACCGATGGACAATTTCGTTTTCAGTTCACGTAATGTGCATGTTTATGAAATGTGTGAGTAAGCCACATTACCAGGAGAAAACAAATGCAAGCAAGGACAAAGCAAATATGCAAACTACACACAGTCAGGCTGGAACGAAGATTCAAACCCTGCACCTCAGAACTTTTGGGCCAGACGTGGCCAGATTTTACTTTCCTAGCAAATTCAAACCACAAATGTAATGCAGTGCATTATATTGACATACACAAACCACGGTCATTTCATTAGCTGATAAATGCAGGGAGCAGTGAGGTTCATTGCAATACTGTGCAGTGCAATGCACTTGGGTTTGCAATACAGTGCTGTTTTCCTTGCTACCGTTGGTGTGCATATAGACTTTTGGAACGAGTGGCAAATAGGTAGAGAGCTGCTGTTAGCACATGCAAGGTGCCTTTGTGGTTAGTAGATCTACTTCGCAGTTCTGAGGTTTGAATCTCGTATCCGGCCTTTGTGTAGAGGGTTTGCATGTTCAGCCTCCTCTTTGCATGGGTTTTCTCCAGGTACTCTCGCTATCTCCCATGTCCTAAAAACATGCAGGTTTTGTTAATTGAAAACACAAAGTTAGTCAATGGTAGGTAAAAATGGCAATGGTTGTTTACCTACATGTATGTGCCTTGTTGTTGGCAACCAACTCAGGGTGTGACACGCTTCTTGCGTAAAAATTTCCTGGTGGAGGCTCCAGGTCACCGGCCTCAGAGTGGAGAGTTACAGGGTTCGAATCAAGCTATGCTCTTCCTATGTGGAGTTTGTATGTTCTCACTGTATCTGAGTGGGTTTTCACTGGGTACTCTGGTTTCCTCCCAGATTCCCAAAACATGTATGGCAGGGTAATTATAACACTCTAAATTGTCCCTAGGTGTGATTGTGAGCGCGGTTGTTTGTTTGTCTATGTGTGCAATGGGATTGGCTAGCAACCAGTTCAGGGTGTACCCCGGCTACTGCCCACAAACAGCCGGGATAGGCTCCAGCATGCTCGCGACCCTTGTGAGGAAAAGCGGATTAGAAAATGGATGGATGGACGGAAAAAGCACATCAATCACTTGCATCGTCTTGTATCTGCCTGGGGACAGTCAGAAAATGGGCGTGTGGGGCTTTGTCGTAAAAAATGTGCTAGTACTCTCACTTTAAGAGAATTTGGTCGGAGCCAGCCAATCAGAGCCGCACATGGGGGGGAGGAAAGGGAGCGGGGTGGGTAGCAACAGTTGCCCTGGTGAAGACGAAGCGCCATAGCCACGGTAGCCCTGGCGACAAGAACCCGGCAACGAGAATCAACAACAACAACGACTGAATCGGCCATAAATTTAAAAGAAGAGCTTTTAACGCCGGGAATTACATACGTGGAATCACAGGTGAAGCCCGTGGCGCACATGGAATATTTTACCCCCATTACAGGATGAAATGTAGCGAGCTTTTTTTTAACCCTTGTTTATGTCAGGCAGCTGGATTCTAATATTACTCTGCAAACTAGCCGTAATGGCGATAATGTGTCGCGTGGCTTTCCAGAGTGTGGCCATTTGCGCCCACTCGTCTCTGGCTTGTCAGTCTGCCTGCCGTGACGACGCAGCCGCGGATGCTGCGGGCCGTTGTTATGGCGATGTCAAAAGCGAAAGGTAACAGTTACAAAATGGCGGTTGTTGAGGCGCTCGGGAGCACTGTTGCAGAGATATTTGGCGTCAGTAGAGTCACGAAACATCTGGCTCGTGTTGTTTTAACCCCCCCACTGAGTTGTAGTTACGAGTTCCTAGTTAGCCGTGCAGTATGCCACTGTTTTCGTCGTCCTTTTCCTACAACGCGATTCAACAGCGTCTCCACACACGTACCGTTCGATACACAAAGAGATGCCGATTTAGGTTGGCCAAGATTCGAAGAATGCCTTAACAATAAACGTGATAGTGTTTTAATAGGGAAACGGCCGTGCTGTCTTTCCTTTAGATAGTCGTAATAGTCAAGAGAGGGAGTAGCTAGGGCATGTGTCGGACATTGACGCTTGAAGAGGCGTGGCAAAAGCAAGCGTGTACTGGCTGGATGCTTCGTTATAATATCACACAATAAGATGGAGTCATTTTTCCGAATAACATTTGACGGAAGAGACAATGCTATCGTTTGTCTGGAAATGCTAACGTTGTGGTTCTTGTTCTTGATTCTCAAACAGTGGCCTGTTTTGGGGAGTTTCAAATCCACTTTTGGGCCCACTTTATCGGACGTCCATATATTGTTCAATGAGGGTTTTTTTTCTAACACAAAAGCACAGTATTTAGCAGTGCATCATATTTATTTCCTACCGTGTACCACAGTTAAGAGGCAGTGTGATCACATTACAGGTAATAAGACACTACTGATGTGCCGCCTCGGGTGGCTTCCACATTAGCTGTAGCATTAATTGGTCAGCAGTATTTCACAACCATAATTGCATCCCAGGGAACAAATGGGGAAACTACTCCAACTGTCTCAAACTTTTATTTTGAATGCCTGATCTCAAGGGACTTTATGTGGGAAGGGAATGACATCATAACAGGTTGTCATTGCTTATTGGTTCCTTTGGATTTGACAAACTGCACTCTCGTCTACATTACTTAATTATTGATTACTTGATGCTACTAAAAGGAAAAGAGGCTTCGAGTTGGCTGTGTTCAGCATACACACTGTCTTGTTCATGCAAAATTTAACTCCAAACAGCCAGCACATGTCCCTAAGTTATTTAGATGTAGTTGTTTCCTGCTTCCAGGGTAATTACCCAGCCAGTGTAATGGCCACCTCGGGCTATGTCGGCGAAATCCAGCCAACAGCCCCATCCCAAGGGACTGTTGTCACTTCTGGACAGCCCGATGCAAGCTCCACATCAGCAACGACCCCTCAGTTCCTGGCTGAGATTCAGACCACTGTGGTTCCCCCTACTGTTGTCACCCCGACAGCCCAGACTGCACCCATTGAACAAGCCACTTCCATCAGCACTCAGAAGCCCACTGCTGGCAGTCAAACCCAGTCTGCTGCTCAGACTCAGCCTGCACAAACACATTATGTAACAGCTGAAATCCAAGGCTCCCCCACACAATCTGGAAATGGCCAAAGTGCTCCTCAGTACATCGTTGTTACAGTTACAGGTAATGTGCCACACCTTTTAGCCCTGTACGTCAACATCAACAAACATATTAAATGCATAATACAAGTTTACATGGAGGCACGGTGGACGGTTGGTTAGCACATCCGCCTCACACTACAGAGGTCGAGGGTTCGATTCTGGGCTCTGCAAATATGGAAAGTAACAATAAAAAACACACCAGACATTACTTCAGTGAGGAAACATGAATCAAACTGTGTACCAGCTTGATTATAAAAAATAGCTTCCAGTATTGAGAATCAATTACCATTCCAAAAAACAGACTAGGAAATGCAGGAATGGTACAACGCACAAGTGGCCAATGGCAGTTGCAATTGCATATGAACATCATCTTGTTGCCATCTCATACTTTTTAATTGTCTAGCAGAGGGTTCCCTTCACTCAAACGACAGTGTATCCGACTCCAGTTCCCCTCCAGCCGTCGTGCAGACCGGAGTTCCCACGCAGGTCGTTCAGCAAGTCCAAACAGCCCAGCAGGTGAACAGGCCATTTGTGCAAAACACCATTGTATGTTTTCCCTTGCAACACCTAAAGCTCGTCATATCTTTGTTTGCACAGAGGTCAGTGGTCCAGGCCACCTCACAGATAGCCAAGACTGAGCCGGGCACACAGCTCAATGTCACCAGTCTACAGCCAGTCCACATCAGCCCAGAGGTAGGGTCTTCTTTATAACTTCTGAAACTTGATATTCAATTGAAAAGTATGATCCACATCATCTATGTGGTGGCATGTAGCTCCTTTTTAGCAGTGGAGTGACAGCATTAGTCAGAGAGCAGTATCTATGGAAGAAAGGCATCACGCAGTGTAGGACTGCGCTTAGGCCCCAGAGCAGACTGCAGACTGGCAAACTCATCTAGATCCCAGTGGACAACATTCATTATCAGCAGCCATTCTACTGGTTCTCTATGCACATGGAGAAAGACTCACCAGCTGCCTGCTGATACCAGCTACAACCAAGTAGGTCAGAGACACAAGGGAGATAGCAGCTACGGAGTTAAAAGTGTTCATAAGTTAGTGACTATTTTAAAATACAGTGCAGTGGTGCCTTGAGAGACCAATTTGTCCCACCCACATGCTCGTAACTTAGAACACTTCTTCTTTCTCCAGTGAAATGAACGGAAATACCAGAATGAAATTCCGATAACCGATTAGTTACAGACCTTTAATTGTTACAAAAATAAATATACGAATTACAGGCAGAATATTTAAATTTTTATGATTTTGTCGATGAATTTGACTGGCCGATTAATTGGTCGGGCCCTATGTAAAACTTTTTGAGATCTCATAGGGGTTGTATATGTTCATTTGTGTTCCCATAGGTCCAACAGCAGCTTGCACCAGTGCAGGTGCAACATGTGTACACCAATCAGGTGCAGTATGTGGAAGGAGGAGATACCAACTACACCACCAGCACGATGTTAGAATCATTTCCTATCTAACATTGGCAAACAAACTTTTTATTTTCCCACTTTCACTTCTCAAGGATCTAACATTTCTTTTTAATCTCCCATCCAGTCGTTCCGGCACCTTCCCTTATACTGACACAGCCCTGTACACCCAGACCACTGCTGGCCAGTATTATGAAGGTCAGGCGACCTCAGGCACTCAGGCTTCCACCCCTGGTACGCCTCTAACTGTCTCCGTGACCACTGGCACAACAGGAGCCGTGTCCATGTTTGTGGCTCAGCCTAGCAGTGCAACAGGGGGAGGGACTACGGTGGTCTCCACAGGTGGTACCACAAATGGGTCAGGGGATGGGGCAGGCACTAATGGTGGTGCCACGGGAAGTTATGTGATCCAGGGGGGTTACATGTTGGGCAGCAGCAGCAGCAGTAGCAGCGGCGGCTCAAGCGGCAACAGTCAGAGCTACGCCCACACCGCCCGCGCCTCCCCAGCCACTGTGAGTATAACGGAGGGCGAGGAGAGTAGCGTGCCGTCGGCAGACAAGAAGGTATGCAGAGGCTCCAAGCGAAGGAATTTCTTTTCATTCTGTTTTCATCTGCACAACCCTTTGGTGCCATGCACTGAACGCCGTCAAGTGGAAAGCACAATTAAAAATGCGGAGCATTGTAATCCAACCCCGTGCAATACAATCTTTTTGTCGTTGAACCCATTTGAGGCTGTTGAAGCGTACCATATTTTTAACTGTGATTTCCAGCTCAAAGAAAACAAACAAAAAAAAAAACAACAAATCATGACCCCATTGCTTTCATACCATTGCAGTGCATGTACAGGGGCACCCTTGATTTGCCTGAAATGCCCCAAACTCTATTTGCCATTCCCAGTCATTTTAGAATTCCATACGATAACGATGCCCAACTTATGTCTGGCAGACATTCCATCAGTTTTCCAGGTCATTAATTCATTGCATACCAATGTTGTAAGCCACGGCACGCACACAAAGGTATTTGTGTTCTCATTTCAAAATGATTTGCAAACCTTTACCGTTTTGTGTCTATATATTGAATAGGAAATACATGTGCATGCAGTGTGTATTTGAAAAACATGCATGTGCACTACTTACCAAAAGCAAGGGATAACGGGCTTTTGAGTGATTCCGGGATGAACCCAAAATACACTTTAGCCTTTGAAGGTGAACTTTATTTGACCTTCACCCAAAAGCCCAATCTAACTTTCTGTGAGAAGTACCATATGTGCATGTTTGTTAAATTGTGTTCTGGATGTTTGACTGGTTTATCGTTGCTAATTGCATCAGTCGCCTGCATTTCCCTTGCCTGCCGGTCAGGTACAGTGGTTGCTGGACAACTACGAAACTGCCGAAGGAGTCAGTCTGCCACGCTCGACCCTCTACTGCCACTATCTGCTGCATTGCCAGGAGCAGAAACTTGAGCCTGTGAATGCCGCCTCTTTCGGGAAACTCATTCGATCTGTTTTCATGGGACTACGTACACGACGCCTTGGCACACGGTAAGATGTGTCATAGACCTCAGGCACATGTAGAACCATTTATAGCCGTTTCAGGCACAACAGATGACTTGCAACAGGCTGCCTGATTCTAATTTACCGTCACATATTTAGTGTCTGTTCATTTTCTGATATGAGAAAACACTTACCTGAGACAGTGGCAGAGACTAACCCACTCCCTCTCTTCAAAACACTGATGAACATCAGTAAAGAGCCGCGTGACACACTATTCATCTCTACAGACAACTTGTTTGGATTAAATGTTGATGCAGATACGATCTCAAGTAGTGCCTGGATTGTTGGGGTTTTTTTTTCAATACTGTGGCATCCATCTCGAGGAGATAAACTGTGTGCAAAAATCTTAAAGCCTTGGAAATGATTCTTTGTGTGGGAGGGAATGTGGGCTGTGATGAAACCACAGAGTTTGACACCAGAGGAGAGACTCTGTAAATTCATGTGTTCATCTTCCATGAAATATGCAGTTATTCTGTATTGTAAAGAGGTTGTTTTAGGCAGCGAAGTTATATTGCCCCCTCTCCTGGTCAGTTTGTTTTTTTCCAATCGAGATTGAATTTGTGAAATTGATGACGTTTTCATGTACCTGACAGGGGCAATTCAAAATATCACTACTATGGTCTAAGAATCAAGGCGGGCTCTTCTCTTCTCCGCCTAATGGAAGATCAGCAACATCTGGCTATGAGGCAACAGCCCTTCTCTCAAAAGCAGAGGTACACGCATCACATTGCTGGAGACATTTCAGTGACATTTATTTCCAACGTTTCCAGGTTTCAATCATGGTGATTGTGCTTTTATTGTCTCGTGTACTTTCTTCTTGTTCAATCAGGTTGAAGCCTGTGCATAAAGTGGAGGGAATGACCAATGGGACAGCTTCGGGAGCGGGACAGCAGCAACTTCAGCAGCAAGGTTCTGGACAGGTGGACATCAGCACCCAGGTTCAGCAGTACCAGCAGTTCCTCGGTTAGTTATTTAGTTTGGGTGGCAGTAAACAGAGGCCTTCTTATCATATAACTGTGATGGCAAATCACCTTTCTTTAATGACCTTTGTAATTGAGTTTTCCTGCCATGTGTCCTATTGGTCAGATGCAACCAGAACACTTCCCGAGTTCCCAGATATTGACCTCCAGGGGAAGTCCCCGCCCGAGGGTATCGAACTGGATCACATAAAGAGCTTTCAGCTGCTCTATAGAGAACACTGTGAGGTAATCAAGTGAGAGGAATGAGCTGAACTGGTTCCAACAGATTAAATAATTTCAGAACATTATGTAGAAGACAAGGCATGAACGTGAACTGCAAATGGACAGACAATTTTAAGTTCTTTAGTGTACTGCTAAGCTGTGGTATGATTCATTTTTCTTTTCTCACGTCAGGCCATACTGGACGTGATGGTCAATCTTCAATTTACCCTAGTGGAGACCCTTTGGAAAAGCTTCTGGAGGTTCAGTCAGAGTCAGGCTGGAGATGCCACACTGGCTGTGTGAGTGGTCCAGATTCCTCCCAAACTGATTACATGAGGACATATCAGCATTTGAACATTTAGGCTTTGCGGTTTTTATCAGCATATCATTCCCTTGCTGATAGCATCGCACCTTTCTGAAGCATACCTGTTACAAAATACTGTAGAAAAAAAGGACACTGAATAGTAATTTAAGGGATTATTGAGCCACATTAATCAACCTCATGGTGATGCAAATCAACCACTGATTGTGGTAACACAGGATAAGATGTATGTATGATAAGATTTGTGCAACACGTACAAAGACATTTTTAGAAATATATTAATTTAAGCTCTGTGTATGTTGCCAGGCACGATGAATCAGAAAAGCGTCTCCCGAAGTCATGCCTGGTGCTGCTGTGCAAATATGACCCGGTGCTGCGATGGAGCCGTGACTGTGACAACAGCCTCTATCAGGGCCTGGTGGAGATCCTCATCCCTGATGTCCTCAGACCAATCCCCAGTAAGACATCTGAAGAAGAGTGGCTGTGCAGCTAGTTTGTAATGTCGATGTGACTGAAATACAGAAACCACTGGGAAGGAATCTCTTGGTGTTTTTAATCTGTTTTTTTGAATGAACTTAATTTTGGCAAAGTTATCTGGTTTTCATCTAGAAACAGTCCACTTAACTGATTGCTTTACGATTATTACAAGAATACCATTTTCCTTCTGCCCTCAGGTGCCTTAACTCAAGCCATTCGGAACTTTGCCAAAAGCCTGGAAAGCTGGCTGACCAACGCAATGATGAACATTCCCGAGGAAATGGTTCGCATCAAGGTACGTGACCGCTCTATTTGTAGCGACAATGGGCTCAAACCGAAAATGATGAGTGGCTTCTTATACAGCGGTGTGCACCAATAGTGTCACTAATGTATGTTTTCTCTGTAATTTTCTTGTTCTGTCAGGTAACATCAGCCAATGCATTTGCCCAGACCCTGCGGCGCTACACCAGTCTGAACCACCTGGCCCAGGCCGCTCGTGCTGTCCTCCAAAACACTGCCCAGATCAACCAAATGCTCTCTGACCTCAACCGTGTTGACTTTGCTAACGTTCAGGTGAACGCCCTTTCTTATTGCTGCGAACGTTGCATTGGGTCAGACCATCAAATGCTGTACTGACCTCGTCCTGTTCACTCCGCGCAGGAGCAAGCCTCATGGGTGTGCCGCTGTGAAGACCGCGTCGTGCAACGCCTGGAGCAGGACTTTAAGATGACCCTCCAGCAGCAGAATTCCTTGGAACAGTGGGCTGCCTGGTTGGATGGTGTGGTTTCCCAGGTGTTGAAACCCCACCAACACAGTCCTACCTTCCAGAAGGCTGCCAAGCTGTTCCTGCTCAAATGGTCCTTTTACAGGTGTGGCACAGTAGAAAGGACGCGTGCGCATATTGAATTTGCCACGTGGCCTAAAGTACTCTTCTCTGTTCTCCAGTTCCATGGTGATTCGGGACCTTACCCTGCGGAGTGCAGCCAGTTTTGGCTCCTTTCACCTGATTCGCCTTCTGTATGACGAGTACATGTACTACCTGATAGAGCATCGAGTAGCCCAGGCTAAAGGAGAGACCCCCATTGCCGTCATGGGAGAGGTAACACACACACACACACACACACACACACACACACACACACCGCACCTTTCTGAAGCATACCTGTTACAAAATACTGTAGAAAAAAAGGACACTGAATAGTAATTTAAGGGATTATTGAGCCACATTAATCAACCTCATGGTGATGCAAATCAACCACTGATTGTGGTAACACAGGATAAGATGTATGTATGATAAGATTTGTGCAACACGTACAAAGACATTTTTAGAAATATATTAATTTAAGCTCTGTGTATGTTGCCAGGCACGATGAATCAGAAAAGCGTCTCCCGAAGTCATGCCTGGTGCTGCTGTGCAAATATGACCCGGTGCTGCGATGGAGCCGTGACTGTGACAACAGCCTCTATCAGGGCCTGGTGGAGATCCTCATCCCTGATGTCCTCAGACCAATCCCCAGTAAGACATCTGAAGAAGAGTGGCTGTGTAGCTCGTTTGTAATGTCGATGTGACTGAAATACAGAAACTACTGGGAAGGAATCTCTTGGTGTTTTTAATCTGTTTTTTTGAATGAACTTAATTTTGGCAAAGTTATCTGGTTTTCATCTAGAAACAGTCCACTTAACTGATTGCTTTACGATTATTACAAGAATACCATTTTCCTTCTGCCCTCAGGTGCCTTAACTCAAGCCATTCGGAACTTTGCCAAAAGCCTGGAAAGCTGGCTGACCAACGCAATGATGAACATTCCCGAGGAAATGGTTCGCATCAAGGTACGTGACCGCTCTATTTGTAGCGACAATGGGCTCAAACCGAAAATGATGAGTGGCTTCTTATACAGCGGTGTGCACCAATAGTGTCACTAATGTATGTTTTCTCTGTAATTTTCTTGTTCTGTCAGGTAACATCAGCCAATGCATTTGCCCAGACCCTGCGGCGCTACACCAGTCTGAACCACCTGGCCCAGGCCGCTCGTGCTGTCCTCCAAAACACTGCCCAGATCAACCAAATGCTCTCTGACCTCAACCGTGTTGACTTTGCTAACGTTCAGGTGAACGCCCTTTCTTATTGCTGCGAACGTTGCATTAGGTCAGACCATCAAATGCTGTACTGACCTCGTCCTGTTCACTCCGCGCAGGAGCAAGCCTCATGGGTGTGCCGCTGTGAAGACCGCGTCGTGCAACGCCTGGAGCAGGACTTTAAGATGACCCTCCAGCAGCAGAATTCCTTGGAACAGTGGGCTGCCTGGTTGGATGGTGTGGTTTCCCAGGTGTTGAAACCCCACCAACACAGTCCTACCTTCCAGAAGGCTGCCAAGCTGTTCCTGCTCAAATGGTCCTTTTACAGGTGTGGCACAGTAGAAAGGACGCGTGCGCATATTGAATTTGCCACGTGGCCTAAAGTACTCTTCTCTGTTCTCCAGTTCCATGGTGATTCGGGACCTTACCCTGCGGAGTGCAGCCAGTTTTGGCTCCTTTCACCTGATTCGCCTTCTGTATGACGAGTACATGTACTACCTGATAGAGCATCGAGTAGCCCAGGCTAAAGGAGAGACCCCCATTGCCGTCATGGACACACACACACACACACACACACACACACACACACACACACACACGGATAAACACAACAAATAATCATACACGCAGTCATTATAAGAAATCTTTCATCTTGTGCTTAGTTTGCCAGTTTAGGACGAGGTCTAATCATGCTGGATGGTGACAAAGGTAATCGCGCTCAGATCTCATTCCAGCTGCGTCTCACGCATGTCCTAAGAAACTCTTTAAAATGTGTGTGGTTCAGAAGAAGAAGAGGAAGAGGAGGAGGAAAGCGATGAGGAAAGCCAGGAGCTGTCCCTGCCGTCAGATGCCGTCGTGTTAGGAGACGAATCTCTGGAGCCTCCTGCCAAGCTGGCCAGAACAGACCAGCGGGTCCTCTTCACTACCGGACCGGCTGACAACTAAACAGCGTTATACCACTAGAAGACATGTTTATATACATCAGCTATTGTAAATGTTGTGCACACTTTTGCTGCAGTCTGTCCCGCTTACTATTTGTTTCTTGCTGGTCAATGCACACACACACCCACACACACACACTTGTTTGATGGATTAAATTTACACATTAGTGTAAGAAACGGATCCCCCCCAAAACAAAAAGATGCAATGTGCATTTTGACCTTGATTTGTGTAGATCTTTTAAGAAGACATTTTGCCCAGTCACTGCATTGGCACTTAAGAGCCTGTGTCTCTCTCCTGTCTGTGAAACTAGTGACATTTTTTTTCCACAAAATGTGACTGCTCAATTGAAAAAAATCACTGAACCTAAAGTGTGTATAACTGGACCTTGAGCTTTTAAATGTCTGCCAATTGTTGTTGTTTTTTTGTTTTTTTTAACAGGAAATTCAAAATTGTGGAGATGTTTAGTGTGATTCTTGTGTGTGTGTGTGTGTGTGTGTGTGTGTGTGTGTGTGTGTGTGTGTGTGTGTGTGTGTGTGTGTGTGTGTGTGTGAGAGAGAGAGTCCACTGTCGTCTCAGTGTGTTTGAATGTACACGGAAATCATGTTAAAGTGTGTTGGTCTGATTGTGTGTTTGTGAGTCACGGCACGTTGTTCACCCACAGGCGATTCCTAAGTCCTTTCATTTTCCCACGAGAGACGTGTTCAATTCACTGCCTGTAAAGAGACATTGGTGTGTTCTAGGAGTGCCTGTCACAGCTGCTACTCACCTGTACAGATAAAGCCACAGCTGTGGAATAAGGACTCTCCTGTGTTGCTGCAAAAATCTTGAGTGTGTGTCACATGACTTTGTTTCAAGTGCTTCATCTGTGTTTTAATTTAAGCCATTATTGTGCCCTCATTTTCTTCTGGGAAGTAATTTTGTCCTCACATTTCATGATCTTTTTTCTCTCTGTGCCAAACCTGTTTTCTTTTATCCTTGTGTGAAAGGATTTTTCCGCGCCTGAGTAAGAACAGTGACATATTCCACTTTTAATTTTCCATTCTTTTGCATTTTATTGTCACTAAGTGAACCTGTTGTGCAGTGTAAGGTGCTGTGATGTCACACATTGTAGAAAACCCTTGTATGAATTTTTTTTTGTTTTATTTTATTTTGTGGTTGTATTGTTACCGATCCCCATCTCATATCTGAAGACTTATCCACACATAGGCTAAGACCGAGCCTCTTTGCACATCTTGTCTTATCATACAAGTCTGACACAATTCTCTTCAGATCGTTTTTTTCTGCATTGCGTGTTGAAAAGTGAGGTACAATGTGTGACACAGTTTAAATGAAGATCACACCCCTGCGGTTTTAAAGTGCGCTGTGATGCTATTCTGCTCTGCCCTCTACCACATCATTGCATTCCTGCTTACTTTTGCGTCATCAACCCATCTTTCTAAACACTGTCAGTAACGATGCTAGTGTTGTGTTTACGTTGACTCTTTAATCACTACAAGGTAGGCCTATTTGTTTTTCAGGGCCGTTTGAAGCCTCAAACCAGCACATCTATTATTTTTAGGGAGTCCCAATTCTATACCCCGGCTGATTACATATCACGCCAGTGTTTAGATGATTAAAAAAATGTCATTGTTGAGTAAAATGTTTAGTCTTTTTTAAAGTGCATTGTTTCTTATGAAAATACAAAGTTAGTAAACTAAAGATGTTCAGTGGCAGTGTTTTATGGATTTGGTCTACTTTAAGTATGACTGTGCCTTTGGAGGTGGTAGAATGCAATTCAGATGTTTAATTTTAAATACAGTATATTAATTAAAGACTTTTTAAAATTGCATTTGTTCTCCCATTTTCTCAAGCGTTCACAAGGTGAACACATTCTGAATTCGCAGTAAATTCAAATACAATTTAACAGTCCGTATTCTTGGAAATCTGTGCGTGTCAGACTTGCAGCTGCGACATCCTGCGTTACTTTTTTTGCAGCATTGAGAGCAATGCACATGCACAGAAACTACAAATTAAAAAAAAAATAGAAAAGAATCGGAGCCATGGCCTCTATGCTGTAAGGCTCAAGTGTTAACCTGCCAATTGCCGCTCTTGCTGTCATTTTACTAAAATAAATATGTCACTGGGGCGGGCGCCATCTTTAGTTTGGTCATGCGACGACGAGTCATGACGAAAATCTACTCTCTCAGCTGATTGGTGGAATCCTTGACCCGACACATTACGTAGTTTGGCGCTCTTGCTTCTCTGGCGCGTTTTTGAAACGCTCGTACAGAATAATGTTTTTTCGACTGACGTTTTGAAAAACACAAATTTAACATTTACACTTCGCGTTTTTACATCTGAAGGTGACGCTAGCAGAATGTGCGGACCAGCTGTGGAAACTGTTGGGGGGCAAAGTTTCTTGAAGCCGTCGTGTTTTGCTAGCTTGTTGTTTTCTAAAGTATATTACGTTTATGCTAGCAACAAATAGATGTCCGTCTCTGATTGTGGACATTTATTTTGCTGTCGACACGAAACGTAAACAGGAAACGAGGTCGCTGTGGTTGCTGGAGTGTTACTGTTTTCGGTAAGTGTTTTGGCAATAATATTACCAGTACTTCATCTTTGACAAGGACCGCAAATGTTACCCTACAAGGCTCCATGTTGACAATAATGTGTTGTTATCAGGTGATTATTTACCTGTAGCGTTTCACATTGACGTTAGTGTTTTCAACTCCCGCTGATAGGAAACTAATCTCCAGTATTTACGGTGGCCATGAACGAGTAACATTACATTTTATGTCAATTTGGCATTGTTGATTCTGAATTTGTTCTGAGTTCTATGTCTGCCATGACAGTGTTCATGTCCAGAGATGCTGAATGCTGTCACATTGATTATTTAGCAAATTGCTTGTTCACAAATGCCATTTCTATAAACTGACAGGTAAATATCGTTTTAGTTGAAGGAATTTTACTATCATCTTATTGTGATTGTTTTTTTGTTTGTTTGTCTTTTTGTCTCAGGTCCCTATAAAGTATGGCTGGTGTAGTGGCAATGGCATCTGTCATAGAGGATTTTGACACACAGGTATTTTTCTACTCAAACAACATGTTGCATGTAATGGCTGTTACGTTGTGTGTCACATATGTGAATAACTTTCCTGCCCCGTTATGTTTACAGCCTTGCAATAAATCGAGCACTGATGGCGGCAGTGCTGTTGTCAAGACAATCACCAGCTACTTCTCTCCTGTGGCCAAAGCTGTGGAGAAACCGTTCTCACCCCCGCGCTCCAATAACATCATGGACTACTTCAACCGTGGGCCTCTGACCTCCAAAGTAAAATCCAGTCCATCACAAACCATCAAAGAAATTGGTCAGAGGTCTTCAGAAAAACACATCAACCTAGAGGTAGCGGACAAGCAGCAGTCTGTTAAACGGAAGAGAAAGACAACTAAAGCTGTAAGTAAAGTTGTGGATCATGGAACTGGTATCTCAGATGATGAGGCAAACTGCTCTATTGTGGAGGGATCGAACTTGGCGCCAGATTGCCATAGTGGCTGTGCTGTTAGCAATCACACAGATGCTCTGCTGGCTCAGATTAGTGCAGATGCTTATATCTCTAATCGATCAATGGAGAGCAACACCTGTCAGCCTGTTAAACAGGCTCAAAATGATGAATGTCACAAAAATGCCTCTAAATGTGGGAAGGGTGACCAGCCTGAACGAGATGTGTCAACCAATTGCGCCTCATCTACGGTTGCGCGTGTAAAAGACAAGGGGAAACCTGTTAAAACAAAAGCTGTATGCACTTCAAGGACGACTAAACAAAAGGAGGAAAACTATTCTGAATCTGAGCAGGAAGGTGCAGAAAATTCCTGTGCTGTCCACATGGAGATTACTGGCGGCTCTGAGTTGAAGAGCAACACGGTAAGGATCTCCTTTGAGGATTTTGTGCGCAGTCAAAGCGAGGTCAAGGGTGAAGAAAAGACGACTGCTGTGCAATGTGAAGGGAATAAGATACCTCGAGAGGCAGATGAATTGGACACTTACCAGTTGGACACCTCTAATTCCATAGCATCCACAGAGGTCTCTGTCCAAGTCTCACCCCGAACCATCACCATTCAGGCTCAAATGCACACCATCTCACCAAAGCAGGAAGCGGGAAAACCTGTGGCAAGTCGAAATTTGCTAATGAACTGGAGAAAGGGTGCGAGAAGTCTTGCAAAGACAGAATCACCTTCTCACATGGAGCCTGTCACAGCGAAACGGAAATCCAACGTGGTACTTGAAGAGGAGGATCTTGACTTGGCTGTGATTGAGAGTGAATCCACACCCAAGTGCCATGACATAGAGAGAAGACAATTCATGGCGGCCTTCAAACAACCCAGCCTGGATGGGTCCAAAGCAAAGCTGGGCAAGAACCAGGCCAAGCAAAAACAACCCGCAGAGAAGGATGCAGAGGAAAATGACTTTCAGGAAAATAAAACGATGACAAACACCAAACCACAAAGAAAATGTATGAAAACAGCAGAAAGAGTCACGACCTCATCAAAGATCCCTGAGGACACCTTGCCTACTGAATCTGATGACAAAGAGGAGCCCGATGCTTCCTTAAATCCCTCTCGCCCAGTTGTGAGGAGGTCTCGAAGAGAGGCTGTTGTTAGGCCAGCCCCTCAAACTTCAGAAACATCTGCCGTTAGCAAAGTGGATAGCTTGAAGGATTGCGCAGAGACCTCGGTGAAAGGATCATCCCCTAAAATACGCAAGTCCAAATATGGAGTCTACGTAGCAGAGATGCTCTGCCCACCTGACGCTAAAGAGAGTCCAATCAGGTAATACATGATAAGTGTTAGCATTTCGAATGCTTGATCATCAATTACCTTATGATGGTTGATTGACTCATCAATATGTTCAGGATAAAATTGAGGAGAGTTCATCGAAATGAATCTGGAGGTGGCAAAAATCCTTCTTTGGCCTGTCATGTGAGTAAGATATTTCTTATATAATAGGTAATAATTCAGCTGTTTTTAAATCAACTAAATGGTGCCGAAAAGATGTACACCCATGCCCTTGTTTGTTTGTTTCAAGACATCGGACAACTCCAAAAAACAGAAAAAGGCGAAGAAATTGGTGGCGAAGGCGAAAGCTGTTCAACAGACGAAGAAAGATGTTGTTGAGAAGAATACCTTAAGGCGTTCATCAAGGACTGAGGCTTCTATATCCAAGAGTTATTGTGAAGATGAGGTGCGTTTTACCAATTTGTAAGGTAAAAAGTACACAGTCTTGTAGTCATCAATCATATCAGGAAACGTACCTTAAGTTAAGAGGTTTTTTTTTGTTTGAGACACTCCTAGATTATTTTGAGGCAGCCTTCAAGTGCTCTGTGGTCCACGTCCACCTGTCCTGTAATAGCAGTGTAATTCGTTAAAGACAAAAGATCCTTTTGTGGTGTGATGTTTTCACACAAAGGATGAAAATGAAATGGTAAAGCCCTATTGTACTTTAACTTGGTGTTTGATTTCAGAATTTTGTCATCTGCCTGGATGACGCCCAAACTGTTTCACCTCAGATGGGACCACAAAAAAGTACAACTAAGACATCTCTACGCAATCTAAATGATGTACTGGGAAAAGCCACTAAAGCTCCCCCAGGTAGTGCTTCCCACTTTTAATATCCATCCATTTGTTTCAAGCTCTTTCAGCAACTGAATGGTTCTATATTGTCTTCCCGAAAGACTCCAAGGGCACTTTGCCGGGCCAGGAGAAGAATGCCCGCAAGGCACCTCCTGTGATTTCCATCTTTGATGACAGCAGCCACGAGGGCTCTGAAAACTGCCAAGATGATGAGCAGTTCAAGGCTCGCAGAGACTTTCTCAAGAGTGGCCTGCCTGAGTCCTTCAAGAAGCAGTCGGCCAAGGCTGCTGCCACCAAAGAGACATACACTCTTTCCTGTGCCTCTTTCCAACCAGTTGTACACATGATGCAAATACCAAATGGTAAAAACATCTTTTTTTTTTTTTTTTTTTTTTTTT